TTTACATGAAAATACATGTCTTAAACTATTTTTCAACATAGTTTCCGCCAATGATCAAACACTTGTCATGGCGGGGGACCAGTTTTTGTATACCATCATCAAAGAACTTCCGCCAGTTGATAACCACGACTCCGGCATTTTTCGTGTATCATCAGATCCAAAGCGCTTGCCACCAAGCTTGCGCTTATGTGCAGAAACAAGTGATAGTCGGACGGCGCCAAATCCGGGCTGTACGGCGGGTGATCGAACTGCTCCCAATGAAAATGTCAAATTAACGATTGCGTGACACAGCAGTATGCGGCCGAGCATTGCATGGAGCAACACAATTCCTTTACTGAGCTTTTCCTCTCGTTTGTTTTGAATGGCACGCTTTAGTTTGTTTTTAAGTCCACAATATCGTGCCGCATTAATCGTTTCACCTTGGAAGAAATCAGTAGCAAAACGCCTTTCCTCCCGGAAGACAGTGCACATGATTTTTTGTGATGACATTGTCACTTGAACTTGTTTTTTTCGGAGAATGAGTGTGTCTCCACTCTATCGATTGTTGTTTCGATTCTGGTGTGAAATGACACACCCAAGTTTCATCACCTGTCACAATTTGGTTTAAAAATTTTTCTCCCTCATCACTGTATCGCGTGAGAAATTTCAGGGCACTACCAAGTCGCTTTGTTTGTGACATCAGGAGCATTTTTGGAACCCATCGGGAACACAGTTGCGATAATTCAAGCATTCAGACACAATTTCGAACAAAAAAGTACGTGAAATTTGTGGAAATGCCTCTGAAAGAGTTGTCATTGTGAAGCGTCTGTTCTCATGAATTGCTTCATCAACTTTACTTACCAAATCATCGGTGACGACAGAAGGCCGACCACTCCGAGCCTCCGCGTGGACATTTGTTGGACCTGCATTAAACATTCTTACCCACTTTCACACCATTGCATCACTTATTGCATATTCACCGTAAACTTCTGTCACTTGACGATAAATTTCGGCCGGTTTAACATTCCTCGCGTTAAAAAATTTAATCACGGCACAAATCTCACAGTCAGTGGGAGAACTAATTGTCCTAAACATTTTGAATGTGCACAGCAAACTGAAAACACAACATAGAGCAACCAAAATGGTGACAATTGAAAGTCAGTGAACAAGAAAGACTAGTGCGCAATCGCTGAACGCCTACCACAGCGCTGCGACGCCGCTAGAATGAAACGGTACTTAGTTTCCAAATACGCTACGTATATAACTCGCATGTATAATCAGATAAATTACAGATATATAATCAATAGGTAAAAGAAGAAAATAAATCCTAGTAGTGAAAGAATGATGAAGGAATTTAAAGCAGGATGAAAGCATTTCATTTATCTTAAAATCAAAGAATATTTTATCAAAAACAATTTTTAAATTTTCAGCAATTCTTAGAGTTTTACCGTTGAGCCCTGGTAAATCGGCCTACTTCCAGATGCTGAGGAACGGACTGGCTACATATGCATTTTTTTAATTTTCCTGATGCATGAAATGAACACGAGCCAGTTTCCTAGAAATCCTACCTGAGAGCATTTTATCTTTCAGGTTGATAGGCTTTGACTGCTTTGCTATTATTCATTGAAATTAAACAATGGTAAACAAAGCCCCCTAATAATGACAAAATCTAATATTGGGAAAAGAAAGAGGTGATAAACAGTTTTTAAGCAAAAGAGTGATGGTTCTGCTGGTGGCCACGGGGCACCCTGGTAGTTCAACCGGGATTCGATCCCAGGCGAAAACATTGACTGCATAATTTGTTTGCATGGTTTTCCACATGTGTAATGCGAATGCAAGTCAGTTTTCCTATGAAAATATGTCATGAAAGCATTCCTCGCCTTAAGCAAAAAGCTTTTATGTACTCTGTCATATTCTAACAACCTAACCTTTTTATGAGACAGAATGATCTCTTTTTTAATGTATAACTCCTAATGATGTCAAAAATTGCAGGGTTTTTTTTTTTTTTTTTTTTTTTTTTTTTTTTTTTTTGTATGTGTGTGTGTGTGTGTGTTTGTGTAATATAAAAAATACACATCAATCAGTCGATAATGCAAATCCATAGAACTTTACATATAATCTACATGAATTTGTATTTTTTCGACCACTTATTTACGTGTTGGAGAGTTTTATGTACTGAAACTTTATGTGAGCAATAAACTTCTCTGTATTGTATGCACAGAATGTTTCCACATTAACTTTCTCTGAATTATTCAAAATTTAATATTTTGTGAATGTGACGGAAGGAAGTTTGCATTTAGCATTTTGGAAACAGATACTACTGTCACTAGATTTCAAATCAAAATATTGTTTATAATGTTAGATTGTTGTATATTAACTTATAGCTATAAGTTGTATATTAACTTATAGCAGCATGGTTAAAACTCAAAAATGTTTGCAGAAATTTCTTTTATGTAAGCATCTTCTCAAATATTTGTTATAGTATTTTATTTTTGTAACATTTAATATACTATATTATATATACTAAATATATTATAATGCGTAATGTGAGCATGTCAAAGATCAGATTCACTTTAATTATTTTGATCATTTCATTGAAATTTATACAGCAAATGGCATTGAAGTATTTATGCAATGACATTAAGATTGCTTGCTAATTAAAAGTTGTTGATAATATAACATTTTATACGAAAAAAAAAATGCTTTGAATTGAATAATTATAATATTGGATTTTTAACTAGCATTTTTAAGTTTATGAATTAAAACTGTGTTAATTAAAAAAAATTTTGCAGACAAATAACTCAGCAATTGTTCTGAAAGTTAAAACACAGTTTTAATTTAGAACTTAAACATTTTAAGGTAATATTAATAAATTTGACATTTGAGAAATTTGTAACAAGTATTCAACCTGAATGACAATATTATGCATTTCTTTTGAATTGATTACACATGAACCAAAGAATGAACAATTTTAAGATGAAGCATTATTATTAACACATTGACTGCCATGGGGGTCACCGGTGACCAGCACTCGGCTACAGTGCCATGGGTGCCACTGGTGATGTGACCAATAGTAAAATACATAATTAGAGTAAATATTGATACTGATAAATTTTTAAATAGCATCATTGTTACTATAATGGTTTGAAGAATAATGTCGTAAAAATTTTAATTATAAATCGCAATAATGGTTTACAGAGCCTTGGCGGTTCATTGGTGACCCCCCACCACGTAAAATGCATTAAGCACAATTATATAACTCACATTATCTTCTGTAGATAATATTTCAACATAATATACATTGCATATTAAAATTTTCAAGTTGACATCATGGGCAAACCATGTAAAATGCGCATGACAGTCAACATGTTAATAACCAATAAATAAAACAAAAATGGACATAATAAAATGTAATTGATATCAAACTTGGTAAAAAGTATTTCATTCTTATAACAAAAATTTTGACAATGCACACCTTTTCATTATTCTATCTGCAATATTACTAATAGACATTACTAATCGTGAAAGAAATGGAATATGCTTATATTACTTGATAAATTAAATAGATAAATAAATAATGCAATTAATAATAAGTATAGTACTTTTATCTGTAACAGAAATAAGTGTCTTTTTTTTTTTCTTTATTTTTGACCCAATTTAATAATACTTAACTCACCCACTCAGTTCACAGGAAATAAATATCACTCAAGAAATTAATTTAAAATATTTAATGGAACTATCATCACATAACTTCTGTATTCATAAATGTGATTATAAGAAGCATAAAACAAAAGTTAAACATTAATATAGGATTCCATAGAAATACTTATTGTTTTAAAATGTAATATCTAGATTAGTAGAAAGGCTACCTTCCTGAACAGTTGTAGAAACTCTAATTATAAATTTCTACATCATACAAACACCTCAGTCATGGAAGTAGTCATTGACATGGGTACCCTTTTTTTATAACACAAGTTGAAGGCTATATTGTTCAACACTGCTCCAAATAACCCAAGGGGGAAGTTAGGAGTATCTAAGCTTTGAATATACTTCAGTTTTACAACACTCTTGTCTTTGATGTTTAAGAAACGAAAAACGAATGGGAGGGAAGAAGTTTTTTTGCTGGAGGCAAAACCGTTTTGAGACACTCTGAGCTTGAGGCAAGCCCTTTTTGAGGATGAAAGTTAAAACTTTTGTGAGACATTTTGGTTCATTTTCACTATCAAAGTGAAAACCGGCAGTAGGTTAAGTCACAGACAGCATTGACAATATGAAATCTTTTGGATATGTAAAAATAAACAATGGGTGCATGCAGATAGACCCTTATTAGTACTTACAGCCTCAGGTTTCAGAAAGCTCCAGAATCTTATTTTGCTTTTTTTTTTTTTTTTTTAAATAAGGGGGAGAAGCAAATGTTCACTGAAGTACTTACAAAGATGATTGCTTAGGGCCCTGGATTATCTTAATCAAGACCATTCTTGATTAAGACAGCCCATAAAAGAGGGCTGTTGATACTGTCATGTGTGCATTTAAATTAATTAACATAGTTTTGGGCAACAGTTTGGTAGTTTTAAGTTTTTAAAAGCTTCATTGATGCAGCTGTCGTTAGTCTTATAGTGAAAGTGTACTGTTGCTATTGCTTCGATTTTCTATGTTTCTGAACTAATAAAACTAAGAGCTTTAAATGTATAGTTTTAATATTTAATTTGGCTTTTAATTTAATGTAGCATGTACTCTCATCATTTTCAGTAGCACTGATACTTTATATTGTGTATTTTTTCGTTGTCATCAAAATTCTGTAACATATTTAATTTTTTTTTTTTTTTTTCTATTTTCAATTTTTACTTGACACATTTCTCAGCCTTAAAAAAGTCTTGGTTGTATGAAAAAAATCTGAAATATTTTATACTTTTTAAAGTTATAAACTGGATGGTAAAAGATTTTCTTGGCATAGAAATTACATTAAATTACTCTTGTATTAGTATATTATAATCAGTATTGAGCAATTCCGTTTAATTTAGGATTTCTGGGTTGCGAAGAGAAAGTGATGAGTTGTTTATTAAAGGAAAAGTTCCTCCCATTTCATTAGATCATGTTCATACATTATGTCTGCATTCTCAAATATGTAGGTATGTAAATATTTTGTACATTGATATAGCTGTTTCTTATCAAAGTTAAATTTGTAAATTAGTATATCCTTGGTGTTAGCAAGTTTGTACATATGATATATATAATTAATTGCATTTATAAGAAGACATTTAATAAAAAGGAACTGAAAGTGTATTTTGGTTTTGTTTATACATTTTTAGTTTAGTATGCATCAGAGATGAATTGATGGTTACAACAATAGATGGTCACTTCTGGAGAGTACATTGGGAAGGACAATTAAATGAAGATTATACTCTTAATTTGGGAAATATTTCTTTCTGTTTGGATCAGTTGCAGTCTAGAGGTATGGTTAATTTAGTAAAAGAGAAAATGCTTTTATTTTAATTTTATCATTGAGATAGTAATTGTTTTGAATTGTAAGTTAAGACTCTGAAATTTAAGTAAATTTTAATTAAATTTCAGAATCACATTATATATCTGCATAGTACATAAATCTCCCTTGTATTGTCATTTTCGTTTTTGTAGTTATCCTCCCGTTGCTTTTATTCTCATTATTAAGTCATTTGAATTAATTAAGAAAATGTCTTTGTTTGGCCAGGCAGATAAAACTGCTTAACATAAGGTTTTATATTAGAGATAATTTCTGTATCTTATTATTAATAATGACATTTATGACTATTTCATCAGATTGTGCAAAAATGAAAATGATTTTTTTTATATGTATAAATTAACTAAATGTGAGAAAAGAGATGTAAATCAATTGTTTGATATTTGAAACGCACATCTGTTTGATTAATTTTGAATATATGGACACAATTTATAGGAAAGATATGTGCATACTGCATTTGCCTTTCATCTGTTTCATTTATTCCATTTTATGACAAATTAGTGTTTAGCTTGATTTAAATGTAATAAAATTTTACACTGAATATTTACTGTAGGATTAACATTTGATGGCTCCGGATTCTATGTCAAGAGTATGGAGTATTCTCCAATCATTGGTGGTTTTTCTGTTGTTTTATCAAATGGGCAAGCAGCTTTTATAACAGCTACAACTTTAAAATTTGAACCTCACGTGAGTAACTTTTGTTGTTGGAATTTTTTTAAAAAGACTTTTGAGACATAATTCAGATTCTATCAATGTTAGGCTTTAAAATTCCTATAATATGTCTGTAGTTTTATTTGCTGAGCAGTTAACTATATTAGAGGTGCATTGATAACTTATGTTTTTTAAATTATATTTTTATTCCCATTAAAATATAGAAAGCGTAGAAAATCTATTCCCTTTTGCTTTTCTATTGCAATTTACATTGCCCTCTTAGATACTGTTTTTCTCCTTTTTTAAATAACCTTTCATCCAAAAACCAAGAAGGGGAAATTATATGAGTAATTTAATTTCTGAAGAATATGTTTACAGTAAGAACATAACAAATGAAAAGTAGTCACAGATAAACTACTGGTAACTATCACAACATTATCTCTTTAAAAGAAACCTTGTGCGATTTTCCACTATGTATTTCTAAGTTACAGTTGAGAGAGAAGAATCTTAAGAACTAGTAAGCGAATAATCGCTTGAGTTCTTGAGATAGAAAACAACAAGGGAGAAGGGTGAAATAACCCTTTATTATTCCAAGTTTAACAAAACTTCGTCTTGGAGTTGTACAATAAAGCTGACACTTGGGCTTGAACTTAAGAGACTAAGAATTAAACTAAACTAATCTTAACTAAAGAGATATAGCTGAAGCTATCAAAATTCTAACAGAGTTGGCCCCTTGACGCTAATTGACTGCGAAGCTATCAAGGGCCTAAAGTATAGCTGAGCGTAATAATAGCATATTAGAGAGTAGCTTAAAAAGATGGACACATGCAAAACTATGTATTCTAAAACTATGTTCTAGCCGGAGGTGGTAAGTTGAAATTAAGAAACGATAGGAAAGGAAGTTTAACTCAAAATTTAAATGTTAATAAAATTAACATAATTCTTACATCCTACATTCCAATAAGAATACTTGGTAATATTAATATTACAATGACAGATATTGAGCTGATATCTAATGGTAACTGAGTCAGACAGTCATGACACCTCTAGTTCACATGAAAAGTCTCGACTGCAGATCCCAAGAGAGACATCAGAGGAATGAAAGAGAAAAGGGCCACACAAAAGACTTGTATTTCAAAAGATCAAATACATCAGCAGTAAATAAGGATGCAATGACTTGGAATATAAATAATGGAAGTAAGGTAGCATCATGTGTTTTCGAAAACTTCATAGACATGAAATTACCTGCCACGTCTAAAACAGAACCACTGCTAAGCTACCCAGACACAAAATACGTTGCTAATATTAATAATAAGTGCAAAAGAAAATAAATGGGTCAAATACAAATTGAACATAATGAATAAAATTTTAAAAAATCAAGGGAATGCAATTTACCCAGCCCTGAGAGAGAAAAACCATGTATAAATACAGGAAGGGGAAATGATGCAAATATATATATTTTTTTTTTAAATTTCTGAACCTAACACTAGAAAGCTAGATGGAAATAAATAAGAAAATACGGTTTTCTTTAAATGTAATGTTTTGAATTCTTTTCTGACATTGAAGACTTTAAGAGTGTGCAAGTATACATATTACATAAATGTAAGCAACCGTTTAATGTATTTAACATCTTTTTTATATTGATTTGTGGTACATTAGATATGTAATGCTATGCTATATATTTTCTTACAGCAAGTATTTGGAATCCTTGCTCAGGACATTCAAAATGCAACATGTACAGCTGTAAATCACAGATATCGATTAATTGCATATGGATTAAAAAAGTGAGTTTTTTATGGTACTTAATGCATTTCAGTTCAACCAGTTTCTCAAAATCTCATCAAAACAGGGTTGATCTTAAACACAAGAAATTTTGCCATAATCATCTCTTTTTACCCCTTCCAGTATACAGTGAGGCCCGATGGCGCAGTGGCCAGCACATCGCGCAGCAGCGCCACAGGTCTGGGGTTCGATCCCTGGACTGGGCAAGGTCGACTCAGCCTTTCATCCCTTGGGTCGATAAAATGAGTACCAAGTTCACATGGAGACTAAACACTGGGGGTTCTACGACAAGCTGACCACTAGTTCAGAATATATGCTTACGCACTCCAGGGAACACGGTCAAGAAAGCAAGTGCACATTGGGGCACAGCTGTCCTTAGCCCGCTAGTGCTGTTGTGCCACTGAGTTTAGTTTTAGTTTAGTAATTATAATATATTGTTGAATCAGTTTTATCATGGCTAACAATATTTTGCAAAAATGTTTTGGCATCTATGTTAGGTAGATGTACTGATTTTTATATCAGATGAAAGAAATATATTGAACATTTATAGCAGATGTTAAAGAATTGTTCCAAAAAACATTCTACCATGACTGAATATAATTTTCTTGAAAAACCTAAACCTTTATCAAGTCTTAAAGAATGATAAAATATTCTATTATGATTGCGTAGTTCTGCTGGACATTACACCTCTTGCGGTGTTAAGTTTTCACTCTCTAACCTAACCATTTAGAGTGTTATCAAAAACTTTTGTATATAATTTGTACCATTCATATATTCTAATTTAATATTCATTATTAGTAAGCATTATTTCTGTTGATTGCTTTTGTTCTGTATATTCAAATGTGTATATCCATTGTGACTGCTGCTTTCTTTTTATATACTCTGGGCTAGTTTTACAATAGGTGAAGCTAAGCAAATACATAGGCGCAAATGTATATGGGAGTGATGATCTTGCTTGTTACCAAAAAGAAAATGTTAGATAATTTGAAGTTTTAAATAAATGCAGAGGGAAATATCTTGTTACAAATACCCTCAAAGTAACTACAGTGCAAAGTCCGAGATCCGGACTTGTCAGGACTTAGCGATTCCAGATTTGGCATTTTTTTTGGATATTAGATCATCAATTTAAATCTAATAAGATGGCTTGTAGAAATTATAAAATAAAAAATATGAAATTGTGATTTATGAAGCATTTATGATCAAAATCATAAATGTTTCAAAATTACAAACAAAGCGTATCAAAATTTACACACACAAAAAAAAAAAATTTAATATTTATTTGTTTACTTTGGTGATTAAGGTTGCTCCATTAAATTTTATCCTGGTTCTGTCGTGCTTTGAGACAATTAAGCCTCAATTTACCAGTTTAGTCATTTATTATACTTATGTCTATTTCTTGCACATGCTTAAAGCTTATCTGATTCCTGAATAAATAAATTCTCACATATACTTTAGCTTATTAAGGGCCGGCACTAGATATCGTACTGCTTGATGCAGTCTCTGTGGGTCCTAAATTCTGCTATCAAGAGCTTCCCTTTGGCTTCCCTAAATTCTGCCGCACAGTGCAGCCATACAAACCCTGGCGCTGGTTTTTGATTTATGTGAGTAACAAATCAGTTTCTTAATTCAAATAGCACTAAATGTAATCTTTTAGTCTATGAGTATCACGAAGAAAGTCTATAGCATATGGAAAGAAATTTTTGTTTAATTTTTCCTCGTTAACATTTCTAGCACATTTAACTTAAATCTGTAATCATCACCAAGCGTAATGTCAGTGTAAAAGGTTACCATACTCTTTATTATTCAATTACTGACATGAAAAAATTGTTTAAGCATCGCTACATGAGTCATTATTTAAGTTGTTGTGTTAATAAACACGAGGTGATGAAAGCAAAATATAGTAAATAATAATTCGCCAGATTGGCATCAGGGATGTAATATATTAGTAGGTGTAAAATTAATGATGTATTTATGTAGAATGTTTTGGTTTGAGATATATACCAACCAGATGTGGATTGGAGTCAAATTCTTGATCATATAAATTTATGCTAAAATGATTGTTTCTTCAATAATGAGGCATTTTATTTAGTGCTGAAGGGAAATTACAAATCTGGACTCTCCACAAGTTTTATTTTGCATGGAGGAGGGAATCAAATGATCATGCATAAAGCATACAAAAAATAAATAAATAGTTGTTGGTGGTATTAATGTCCGGATTTTAAATCATTCCAGGTATTGGAGGTCCGGATCTCGGACTTTGTACTGTATTATATAAATAAACATCAGTGCCTTAAAGTCATCTTTTTTCAGCTCCACAAAAGACCAAAATCATGTGGAAGCATGGATAGTTAGTTGTCCTTGGGTGGTTTCACTATGCGTGCATGTATTATAACAAATTTAGTCTAATGTAGAAATGAAGAGGATGAAGCTGAATATATGGGGATCATCTTCATCAGGTATATTTTTGATGATTGATATTTTGTACAACTAAACAATATAAGTGCTGAGATATGTGCACCCAATGTTTAGTGATTTCACATAGACAGTGAAAAGCATTGCGAAAGTAAGACTTTAATATTGATGTTAGATGAAGAACAGTGAAGTTACTACATTTCTCAGCTGAAAACATAACATTATTTCTTTTGATTGAATTAAAACTTTAGTTGAACAAGTTTCATTGCAAATAGGTCAGTTTCTCAGTTGCTATTATGTAAGTACGTGTGTGCATAATTTGCTTTTTATAAGAACCACATGATATGAATTAATTTTGAAATGACTTTCAGAAAGATTAATTATAAGCACTTTACTGTTTTTTTAAAGACAAAGAACCAAATTAAAAAGGAAAGTTAAGGGCCTCTAATGAATTAGATATAAGTTAGAATTTTATCTTACCTAGACATACTGCCAGTGTATGAGGGTAACTAACTTTTCTTTCTGTAAAAGGGGTATCAGATACTCTTGTGCCAGTAGTGCATTTGCCTTTGTAATCAAGATTCATAAAAGTAACTGTTTCAGTTTTTAAGTGCTTTGTTTTGTACATCATACTATGTTTTGAGTATTTCATAAATATTTTACTTTTAGGTTCTGAATTTCAAATAATATTTCATGGTTTATCTGTTCTTTTTTTTTTTTTTAATGTATCATATCAAATTTATATTGTTTCTTTTAGCATAATTTTCTTTTCTAGTGCTCAAGGTGTGGTATTTTGTGTTGATGATATTACTGGTGCTTTGCAGACTACACATCAACTAATTTTATCTAGCAAAGATTTTCCTGGTAATATATTTTTTCTTTTGTATTACTAATAAAGTGTTACATAACATTTTTTACTTCCTTGTACGAAGTAAAGGAAGTATTGTAATCACTACAAATTCTGGGTATCGTATTTCAACAAAAATATCCATTTTGACTGCTATTGAATTCATTTTAACAATATTTATGCGTCACATCTGTACGCAAGGACCAAATAAAGGGCTCTTTATTCCCAAACGAATTATAAAATTGATTTAAAATGGATTCAGAAGAGATTTTTTGATGCCGTCTGTATGTATGTATCTCGCATAATTCAAAAACGAGTAAACTCAGAACATTGAAATTTTGTATATAGGACTGCTATAACATGTAGTTGTACAACTCCTATTTTGGTTGCAATCAGCCATGTCAAAAATATATATATGTGTGTGTGTGTGTGTGTAAGATATAACAAAATATGATAGCTGTTTCAAAAATATAATTGGTGACCTCAAAATTAACATTCTAAATTTGGTGATCTGCCCCCTAAATACATCTCTTCTCACAGGTTCCAGATTTTTCTATCTTACGTAACGTTTTAATGCAGATGCCTCTTGTCCAATCAAATTAACTGTAAACCAAAACTCTGAACTGAAACTTTTCCGACTCCCACCCTTGTTCCTCTGAAGTCTCTGATACGCTTTCCTTTTTACGGATAAGCTCTCCTGCCAGCAAGATGCTTTTTATGTATGCTGCTGCCGCTTACTTGCTTAAAACGACGGCGTACTTCAAAATGCAACTTATGCAAAAAGTTAATTGCATTATAAATTATTTTTTAGGAAGATAAATTTAATTATGAATATAATGTCAATAAAGTGAGAAAGAATTACTAGTAATTTCTTGCTTGAAACAATTATGATGATGATAATGCTTTTACATACTGAGTTATTACAGCAAAAATCCATTCTTTTGAACAGCTAGAAACATTCGTAAAGTCCGTGTATTATTCAAGATTTCTCAATTAATTATTCAAATCTCTCATATTAATTAATTTTGGAGTAGTTTTGGGATAAAGCACCTAAATTTTATTGCAAAATTCTTTTCGTATGTGTGTGAGTGTACATATACACATTCATGCGTACATAGACACATACAAACATGTGCACATGCAAGCATATGCACACACAGGGTATAAGCAAAATTAATGGTCACAGCTTTAAGGGGTGATAGAGCACCCTACAACAAACATGTTTGGTATGGGTATATATGGACACAAGTGGTACATTGAGGCACAACACTAGAAATAAGACCTGGAAGAAAATACAAATTATTTGCTTCTGCCATCACTGATAAAAGCTTCTTTACAAGTACGTACAATAATTGCTCAAAATAGCATCCACCAACAGTAATATTGGGTCATCCGAAATACTATGTATGTTTTCTTCTAATTATTTTATTACTGCTGATGAGGAGTGACTTTGATTGAATGTTTAAATACAGTTCTTTCTACTCATGTTGAATACTTCTAGGATGTCTTGTTGCATAATTTTTTTGTTTTAGTGAAGTGCTAAGAGGGGAGAACCTGAAAGCTCATTTTTGTTATATTATGTCATTTATTTACAAAAAAGAAGAAGACATGCTAGTGAGACTGCTCATAAAATGTATACTATTTGTGAGCAAAATGATGCTTCTGCTGACATAGTTTGAAAAGTTTAAGCATGAGAATGTCAGCCTAGGAGATGATGCCCACTCCTTTGTTAACAAGGTCCTGTTAAAAGAAGATATTTAAATCCAATTTATATGCTAAGGAACTATCAGGCTGACTAAATATTCGAAAAAGTACAGAGCATGATCACCTGATGAAGATTGGATATATAAACTGTTGTGGTGTATTGGTAATCCATGCTTTAATAGAGCAGAATATGCTTGCTCGAATTTCAGCATGTGTTTCTTTGTTGAAAAGAAATAAAGGAGCTCCTTTTTTGAAATGCCTTATAAATTAGAAGTGGATAGTACACAGAAATTTTACAGGAAAAAAGTCCTGGGATAAATTAAAAGAATTTTATTCAGTATCATTGAAAGGGAGAATACATATCAAAAAAGCAATGCCTTATGTTTGGTGGGACTATAAAGAAATGGTGATATTTACGTATTATCCTGTCGACTGCAAATTGTCGTCAAGCAGTGAAATTTAATGCCAGTTATGGATAAGTGTAACATAGCATGACACTTATAACATTTGCTTGTGCTTTCGTTTGATGTAATTCTGATTGATTTTCAATAAAATCTCTTTTGTTTTTATGAAAACAGATGTAACTTAATTATTGCTATACTTTTTCCCTGCATCTTGAAAATATTATTAAAATTTGTAACCTGCTTTCTACAAAACAGAAGCAGCAGATTATTTTCAAGTTATGGGATCCTACCATCAAAAAAAGCATATATTAATTTACACAATATGGGTAGCTGAATATAGCTGACAAAACAATAATAGGTTGAAACAGTTACATATAGGAAGTTTATACTCATAGCATTCTAGACAGTGCTTTTGATGAAATGGGAGGGCTTAATAAAATAGTAGAAATTAACAAAATCATTTTTGTGAATCACAAAAAGTGGATTGAGTACCGATTGTTTATTAAATAAAGACACTTCAGTTTTTTCAGAATTCAGCAGAAATGATTGGCACACTATTAATGGGATCTTGGGCAACTTCCACGGCTGACGAGATAATATGTAAGTACTAGAACTGTATATTATAAACTTGCAACTATATAAGTCAATAAATTTGGGAAAATACTGTTCCTAAGTGGAAGTTTTAAAAGCAGAAATTGAAGCAAAGGGCCCAGAACGGAAAATTTGTCAGAATATTGTCTTCCTTCATTTGCTCTTTCTGACATTTGGATGCATGCCAGACAGACTTATGCATAAAGCTGGAATGTTTTATGTTACTCCCCTTCACAAACTCTCCAGACCTTTGTCTCCTCCTATTTTCATCTCTTTGAGTCACTTCAGAATTTTCTGAATGGCTTGGAGTTAACTTCTTTAGAGACTATCAAATAGCACCTCAATAACTTTTTTTTATCAAATAGCACCTCAATAACTTTATGGCAAATGGTAAATTTCTTTGTTTAAAAAAACAAAGAAATTTACAATTTGCCGTAAAGGTAGAAAAATGTGATAGAATGAAATTGTGCTTATGTGATTCAATAAAATTTTGCTATGTTTCTGTACTGCTTCATTTCTGTTTCTCATAAAAACATTGCAGAATGCATAAACTGCATATGTATACTCCCAGTACATGCTTGGCAACATTGAAGGAGTGATCTGCATGCAATTTTTAAGATGGCAGCTATTTCTGCCATGCAAGCCATGTACTGTCTTCTGCTAGCAACAGTACAAGCAAATCACTTTATCAATATTATACTAAGCATGTACTATTCTTGTTGATGGAAGCGATTTTTAGCAGTTGTTTTAAATACAGTAGTAAGGAAGCATTTATCTATACTGCAGATAAATAATATGTGCTTTCTTTCAGATCTTATTTCTTTTTTTTATGCCTAGATGAATCACTTGCACTCATACATTCCTATATGAAAATTTTCATTGTAATATGCTTTATGACCCCTTCAGGTTATGACAATCAATTCTGTCACATCATGTATATATATCAGTATACAAGGTATCAGTACAGTGGTGACAAACTTTCAGGAGAGATAGAGTAGACCTAGATGATGGGAAATCACACCTCAATGCATGCTTGGAAATGCTTTCTTTGCACGGTAGTGATGACATAAAAGTCAAGAAAGAAAGGACACGAACGGGATAAGAAATCATGTTTATTATTCGGAATACAACAAAAACAAAGAAAAAACAACATAATGAGACAACGAGCATCATCAAAGGTGTTCAAAATTATGACCCAGACCGTGATATAGGAATCGTGCGTCAGGCATCTTCCATGCAATCTTCCATTCATGATGCAAATCTTCAATGCTTCAGAGAAGTGAGGCATGCATCACAGTCCTTGGTTGTAATTTCGAAATCTTCTTTAATGACAATCATTTTTTGGTTTTGTTCTTATTTGTAGATTTCTACTGTACTAAACATAATTAAACATGTTTTATCTCACTGTTTGTATCCTTTCTTTTTTGCATTTTGTGTCGTCACTACCATGCCAGGAAAGCATTTCTGACCATGCGTTGCTGTATGATTTCTCATCGTCTAGGTGTACTCTATCTCTCCTGAGAGTTTGTCACTGCTGTACTGATACACATCTTACTTTGATTTTCATTAGCCCCTTAACTTTCCTTCTAAATTTAATTATTTTCTTTTTCCAGCTTAATAACAGTAACTGCTTAAAATAAACCTTTCCAAGCTATGTCATTTTAAAATTAAAAAAATCCTTCTCATATGATTCTTAAATAACACTAATGCCTAAATAACACTAATAATGCAGACATAACATTAAAATTTTCAAAATTAAACCTAAAATTAGCCAATTATTTGGAAATTATGCATTCTTCCCATGCTTACAGATCTGGTAACCTGTCACCAATTCCCTTTCTTTCATCAAATATATTGTAATAAAGATGTGGAAAAGGCATAAATATAACTGATCAAGATTGGTCATACTGTAATGATGTAGCTGTTTTTGCATCCAGAAATGCTGTGCACCAATAACAGAAAATGTTAAGATGCCCAAAATTGCTACCATATTTATGCTACATGTCTCATCACTTCATAATCCTGCATCTGTGTTATCCACCATCAAAAATATTTTTAAAAATGTTTAGAAACCATTTTTGTTATACATATATCAGAAGTTTCCATAGCATGGCTCATGAGCCACATGCAGCAATCATAGGTGAATGGTGCGACTCTTATGCAAATAAAATATATGTATGAAATGAGATAACAACAACAAACTCTTATAACCACTATTGCTACTGAAAACAACTGCGGCATTTCGTAACGATTGCCGCCAACGTGTGGGTTGGAATCCATGCTTCTAGACACTCCATTTTCTCACTTCATATTAGGCAGGAGGAGACAGGTGCTAAGTACCAAGGTGGGCGAAAGCCACTAGGCTAAAAAACAAGGCAGAGCACGTCAGCTAAGAAAGGGAGCCTCAGAGAAAAGCCAAACAGCCAAAAGAGGAGGGGGTGCCTTTTGGCTAAAAAGGGAAGAAGCAAAAGCTAAAAACTGGTCAAAGAAGGGGCGAGCTTAATTTACTAAGTGTAGAATCAAGACTAAAACCCAAGTATTATAATGTAAAACTTCTTGAGATAGTAATGTTGTCCTACTTAGTACATGGATGCGATCTATGTAATTTAGTGCCTTTAGGAAACAAAATTAATTTGGTTTTATCAATACTGAAATTAAGTTGATATTTGTTGCTCCACTGCTCAAGTTTTCTAAAGTTCTATGAGCCTTTTGTTCAATTCGCAGTCTGCTACTACCAGAAATGATGACTAAGAAATCATCAGCATATGCTTGAACTTTTTTACCTGTGTCAAATTCTAAATTTAAAGCAGTATCAGCCAAGATATTTCATAAAGTGAGCCCTAGACTGAAACCTTGAGGTGTCCCTTTCTGATAACCTTTTCCGGCACGCTACCTTTTAAAGTCGGAGTTTTGATTGGGAAAAAAAGGTAGGCAGTCTAATTAGGACTAGAGGGGAAATTAAGTTAAACAAGTAAAATTTTGTGAAGATAACACTTATCGTTTTAATTCTGTGGGTGTGCCCAAAGTGGCACACTGATTAAATAGAGCTTCGAAAAGAGTGCTGAAATGAGCATTGTTGTCAATGAACTGACCGATGAGATGCGTAGGAACAAAGAATACAGACTCTCAATTGTCCTAGATTATCGGTGAGCCCGGGCACACTTATGCAAAGTGGATAAATGATTGTGAAACCAGCAGTAGATGCCAAGGTGTTGGATGTCCACACATCATCAAAGAAAGGGACTGTCCAGCAGAACAGCGGGAACTGTCCCACTTGGTACAGCTAAATTGGTTCCAGACAGTGACTCAGCTGACAGCCCAATATAATGCAGGTCAAAGTGCAAGTGTTTCAGAACACACAGTGCAGTGGACACTGTTGGATATGGGTATGGGAGTGTCCAGCTGAAGTCCCACTTGTATGCCTTTGTTGACCCAACATCATTGTCAACTATATCTGTAGTGAGCCTAGCAATGGATAAATGGAAGAAAGTTGCCTGGTTGGATGAATCATGATTTCTCATATATCATCTCAATGATCATGTCAGAGTACACGGTCTTCCAGGCAAACAGTTGCTCCCCCCATCCCTGTACAGTAGGTCATATGCAGCCTGGTAGTGGCAGTATTATGCTTTGACAGAACTTCTCATGTGTGGCTGTAGAACACTTAGTTGTGGTAGAACAGACTATGAAATCTGTGGACTATCTGAACATAACAGCAGATCAATTGCATCCTTGCATGGCATCTGTCTTCCTAACTGGAATCGTCCAGAGGGATAACACCCCATGTCACAAGGCTGGAATTGTGTTGGAGTGGTTCGAGCAACATAGTGACAAATTCCAATTAATGTTCAGGCTAGCTAACTGTCAGATCTTAACCCAATAGAGCACATTTGGGATGTCATGAAGCGGCAGCTCAGAGCTGAAACACCACAGTGTCAGAATATCTCGAATTTGCATGGCCACTGCTTAGACATTTGGCACAACCTGTCTCCAGTCATATATCAGAAACTTGCGGCATCCATGCCAAGGTGAGTTTCAGCTGTTTTGCAGGCCAGTGGTCTCACAACAGGTTACTGAGTAGGTGGTCATAATGTTTTGGCTCTTCATTATATAGTTTCAGCTTAAACATAAAATAATATGTGATAGAGAACTCTGATTTTTTGAATTTATTCATTAACATTTTGTATATTTTCTAGTACTACAGAATTATATTTGGAAATTTCCATATATGAACTTTTTTACTCAACTTTCTGATATTGCATTATTTGGAGGACTTTGTTTCTTTTCTTCTGTTTCACATTTAAATAAAAATGCACAGAAAGTTAAATATTTATTTATATCACTTTTTAAATATTTTTTATAAATTTTGCATTAAGATTTTATTATACTTGTGATGTGCATATTTCATTAAAGGAAAAGATCTGAAAGAATAAGATGTTTTAAATTTCAGAATGTGTTCTTATGACTATTACTTCAACTGTAAATAGTTTTAGGCTACCCCAATATGTACACTGCATGCACACACACATACACACACACACAAAAAGGGATAATTCTATATCTCCCATTCTGCTGGGCCGAATGATGAAATTCAACTTGCATTCTTCGTGTCTCGAAAGCGTGACTATGATATATATTAGATTTATATATAGCATTGTTCTAATATAGGTATTTTGACACAAAATCAAACTTTTTCTGAAATGACATGACAATTTTCTTTTTCTTTATTTCGATGTACTGTAAGAATTATGTTTTCTGATACTAAAAGAAGTTTCCTTAGTATCTACACTCCACCGAAAAGACACAAAAAAATTATTTACGAGGCAGGTGCAGTGTGTTGCTTATATAGTTATGTGTCAAAACCTGATGATGGTGTTGGCAAAAACTATCCATATGGTAACCCAGGTATGTGCATAGCACATTTCTGTTTTTACTTGTGTGTAGTGTTGATGTTGTACTATGTTCAGTGTCTGCAATTCTCTGATTTTTTTTAATTGAAAACAGAATGTTGTGTACATGTTCAACATTGGGAGGGGGGCTCGGTTTCTCAAAAAAGATAAGCATTTTATTTCAGGTGTTTCTTGCTTGTTCAGTTCTGTTGATTGATTGTTCCTGTATGGAATTTTTAGGGTGCAACCATTTTAGAATAGGTGTTACCATTCTTGCATTAGCTTTGAAAAAGTTAATCAATGATGAGTTTGCAAATGCTCTCCAAAGCTATTAATGAGTCAACTTTCTAATGAGTGTATGGATATTTAGAATGTATGTTTTGTAGTTTTAAGTTTTTGTATGTTTTTCAGGAAAGTGTTATAAACATTTTAATTATATAATGCTTTGTTTGAATGTAGCAGTAAATGAAATTCATTCAAGAATATCTTTTTCTGAAGATGTAGCTTCTGCAGCTGGAGCAGTATCCAATTTAAAATGGACACCTGATGGTGGAGCTTTGGCTATGACTTGGGAAAAAGGAGGTTTAGCACTCTGGAGTGTGTTTGGTGCACTTCTAATGTGCAGTTTGGGTTGGGATTATGGGTGAGTTTTGTTTTCATTTATATAATTTAAAAATATTTATAGATTAACTTTAATATATTCAAAATTTTCCATGAGGCAAAATAATGAATTATTTCCTGTAGATGAAGTCTATTAAAGTTACATTTTCTTGATAAGTTATTTTATTTTAAAATGTATAATAACTCAAACTTTTTTGAATGACATGAAAATTATTTTTGGTACTTGTATATAAATTGCTACTCGGAAATGAGAATGGTGTAAGCTGGCAATAAATTTTTGCCACCATGTTACAGCTGTGCTGTCATCCTTCATTAACTGCTTGCAACCTTACACTTTTATCTTTGAGGTGCTTTTTTCCTAGCAGGTTTCTGCCATTTTTGAAAGAACAAAATGAAAATTTTCTGTTCCCCTCTTCAGAGAAACAAAACATTGCCAAAAAGTTAAGGAATTCCTATGGAGTGAAAATATACCTTGTTAAAGAAAATGTTTTATGGAAGCATAACACTGAAAAGTAACACAGATAGTAAGAGATTAATTTGAATGAGATTTATTATATTTGCAATAGCTGTACATACCATAAATGTAATGAACTGACAGTCACGTTTTGCTAAAAAAAGGAATCGGATCTGGTAGATAAAACTGTTATTAATTGGAACAGATATCTTTGAGAAATTTGCATTGCTCAAAGAGAAAAAACTAATACTTGAATCATCAAGTCCTTGTATCAAGATCACTGCCAAAATTAATTCAAGTTATCTTGACACTGCAGCAGCTTCTGCCACATTTAATCTATAATTGCTTTATTCTCTCAAATTTCTACTTTAATGAGTTATAATCAGATGCTATGTCTAAAATTCAAAGGCCATGCCTCAAATTCTTGTTAGAATCCTTAGATATGGAATACTTTTCATTTCTTTGGTTTTCTGGGTTATTCATTCATCCCCATAAATAACTTCACTTTTCCCCCCTTGTTAGCATTTAAAAGTATACTCAAAAGTTTTCAACAATCATGCCTGAATGTGATTCAGGGGATTTTTAAAATTTGTGCTCTAGTTCCCTGCTAAACATATTCATAAACTTGGCAGCATTCCTAAATCAAGAAATATTCATATTTTTACTATCAATTTTATGATTATTTGAGATAAATTTTGATCCAGGCAAATTATTTAGGTGTAAAATTTTCAACAAAAAGCTCAATTTTTCCTTTTGCTTATTTCAAACTTGAAGATATTATGTATGGGGGGGGAAAGGGAATTTAAATATTCTGGGAGTCTTATGCAAGACGTCCTTGGGAGTTGATTGGTCTTCTCTACTTCTCATTTGCACAGCTGTTATCTGATCTAAAACTAATTATGATCATTTATAGGTCTGTATGGTTTTTTGTGTTGTTAAAATTAGATCCTGTTCATCATCATCTGTAGATTTGTTCTGGAGCTTTCAGAACATCTCCATTCCAGAGTCTTTGTCTAGAATGTCTTGAACCATTGCTTCAGTTGAGGTAAGAAAAGTTGTCTCTTTTTTTATTATTCTAATATAATGATGCAACCCAACCATCCGGCTGAAGTTCCACTGCTCGATAATTCATATAATGTACTATTCCAAGCACGACTCCTGTGTGTGCCTTCTTTTCGTTGAGGTGTTGTTCTCTGCTTGAGAAATGTTGTGTATCAGAGATCAGTGTTCAAATGATAAAGCATTTTGAAATTCCTCCTTGATGTGAAACTTAGTCCTTTCTGCACCAGGTTTGCTCTATATTCACTTCAAACTGATGTCTATTTTCTATGCATTATGCTTGTGAAAATTCATCATTCACTTTGATTCATCCAGTGCTTTATGGAGACTGCGCTTTAGTTGTTGAAATTTTGAACCAAAATACAGACCTGAAAAGTTGAGGCTTCAAATTCTTTGCTGCTGGATTCTAGGACATGTGAGCATAAAAGGCAATGAACTAGCAGGTATAATGGCCAAGAATGCTGTCGATTTGCTAAACCAATCTGTTCCTTTTTTAGACATAAAAACTACAAACCGAGCAGAGAAGCCTAAACAAATGACAGAAGATTTGAGACCAAAAAATAAATTATGAATCATTAAACTGCAGTTGAGAACTGGGAGTTGGGCAGGAATATAAAGGAAGAATTTAACTCAACTAAAGATACCAGGTTGTTCAATAAGTTCGCGGAACGAAAATGAAGAAACCAATTTTTATTTGTAAAAATGACTTTATTTTAATCTGGCGATAGACTGGATGTCGCAACAATTTGTACTTCAATTCAGTTATTTTAGCAATGATTTTTTGAGCTGTGTGCGCAGGTGCGTTATCTTGGTGGAAAATGATTTTCTTCTTCTGTAATCCAGGTCTTCTTTCACGAATTTTTTCGTCTAATTGATTCAAAAGGTTACAATAATAATCTGAATTAATTGTTTTGCCAGTTTGAAGGTAATGTATAAACAAAATTCCTTTCACATCCCAAAAAACTGATGCTAACACCTTCTTAGCTGATTTTTGCACATGAACTCGCTTCAGCGCCAAAGAGCCGGGTTCACACCACTCCTTAGCCTCCTGTTTTGATTCAGGATCATGATGGTAGACCCAAGTCTCATCCATTGTGAGAAATCGATGGATAAAGTCGCTTTTATTCTTCTTAAAATGCTCCAAATGTTGCTGGCAAAGTCGCATCCGAATGTGTTTTTGCTCCATCGTTAGAGAATGCGGCACCCATTTTGCACAGAGTTTTTTGAAACCCAAATTAGCACTCAAAATATTGCTCACTGTGCCCAATGAAATGCCTAAAGCCTCTGTTAAATCTCTTTCAGTCAATCGACGGTCTTTCAATACTATATCTTGTATTTTTCCAATGATTTCCGGTGTTGATGCAATTTTTGGACGTCCCTCTCGCAGATCATCTTCAAGGCTGGTACGACCACTTTTGAATAAACTAACCCACTTGAAAACCATTGTTTTTGAAGGAGAAGATTCACCCAAAACATTCACCATTTCGGTATGAATTTCCATTGCCTTTAAACCTTTCTTTACAAAGAATTTGATAACTGCACCTTGCTCAATTTTATCCATACCTAAAAAAAGGCACAACATGTTAGATATAAAGGGCGGTTAAACAATGAATAAATGAACAGATCGAAATGAAACTTTTGACGTGTTCCTAAGAAAGAACAAATGTGAAAATGGCATCGAAGTTTTAGGTCTAATATTGATGAATAGATGGCGCTCCGTGAACTTATTGAACAACCTTGTAGATCAATGTTAGTTTCACATAGCTGCATTTGTTAAAAAGTGAGTGTGCAAGTTGTTATGTCCTGCTGTTCATATGACATTTTAATTGTGTAAGTTTTAACTATGTTTGCCAGAGATATTTTAATACTTTAAATTTTAACATTATCGATGTTAATAAGGGAAAACCGAGTTTTAGTGTGATTCATTTTTTGAGAGAGATAAGATTTTACCATTTGGTTTAATAAATAATGTATTTACTGTATATTAATTGAATGGTGTTTTAACATACTCATTTTCATCATTTTTCATTCATGCGTACTTTAACCCTCTGAACGTTATGGCCAACTTTATCCGGTCATCAGAAGTTTTGCTACTGGGCATATATTAGCTTATAATTTAAGATATTTAGCTTTCTTACTTTCTTTAATAATGTAAATATCATCTTAATGAATGTACATTTATGAAAATACAGACTAAAATAAGTAATTTACTGACTCAATTAATAAATACTGTTTAAATACCGGTCTTCAATGCCAGATCTAAAATTCTGCGCAGCTCAGAGGGTTAAGCCTCCCAACATGTTATTATAAGTATCGTACATATGATCTAGTGTTTTAATTCTTTTTATTCACATAATTTTATCCCTTTTCATTTGCATTTTATTTGTCATTTGTACACGTTAGCTTTCACCATACAGTTTTTATGTATCGTGTAAGAATAGTTTATCTGTTTTTACTAAAGTTTCTAAAGTTTTAGCTCTTTCAGTTTTTTTTTTGGGGGGAGGGGGATAATTAGTCTTGTGTTTGGTACAGAATGACCAATTTACTGGTTTTGTACGATAGAATGCAACTGAACCCAACCCAGATCATTACCTGGAATTCTTATCTGTTCCTATCAGTTCTGCCTTATCGAAATTCAAATACATTTCCATGAATATCATTTGTTGAATTCTTAAAATATATATTTGTTTGTGATAAAATCATAAATTCTGAATTTTGTAACAGTATTTTTTCATTATATTAAATTTTATCTTTTTTTAGATCAGCTGATATAATGAAGAATGTGTTAACAATTACATCTCTGGTATAATATTGTTTTACTGATCTTACTTTTTCCCTCAGTTTTTATAGTTTGTGATATGATTATTTATGTAGAATGGACAAAGCAGTTTTTAATATTAACTGTTAAATTTTTCATTTATTTAATTTTATTATATTGAATTTTATATTTGCAATGACTTCTAATGAATTAAGGAATAAACAAATGAAAGAAAAATGGTAACAACAAATACGAAGGTAATTTGTAGAGTGTTGAAAATCTTTACTTTGTCCTTAGTTAAAGAAATTCTGAAAATATTTTTATTTTTAATTTTTATATGTAAAAATAAATGTGAGTAAAATAAAAAGAGGTGGGTGAAAAGTAAATAGTCGGTCATAAAAAGCAGTCTAGTCCTTGCAGTAATGTAGGACTTAGAGCAATGTTTTATCAGTAGTAATGATGTTTAGGAGCTCAGATAATAGCAATGATCTTTGTTAATGCAAAACTGTTTGAGTCTAAAGGTTTGGTTTATTTTAATTATGGCAAAGCACACTAGGGCTATCTGCCTAAGGGGAGGGATGTCTTCGGGGAGGCCTTTCTAAGGGAAATTGGCTCGTATACACGTTACACATGGGGAAAACCTTGAAAATGCCCATGCAGCCAGCCCGTTTGTTGGATTCGAACCTCGGACCGAACTACCAGTGTTCAGTGACTTTACCACTCGACCGCTGGTGGGTGCTTGAGTCTAAAGGATTTTGGGAAAATGGGGAATGAATTTAGATAAGAGGTTGAAAATGCTTAATTTATTTATATGTAAGATAAAAAATTTGTCAATCAAAATTGTAATTTAAACTAACCCTCTTAATTCTTCCTCTCTATTCTAAAAATCATAATAACTTCTCTAGATTGCTTCATTTCTAAAACAGTTCACCTTGCATGGCTTGCATAATGCTATGATGTAACTAATTCAAACCTAAAGTCACAATTTTGAGAACTGAAACTTTTCCAAAACCTTCCTCTTGGCGAGCTTCCATATTGGATAAATGCACCACTTTTAGCTTGAACTTCTGTGCGGCTTGGTCGCTATTTTGTTGTGCTCGCTTCCTATCTCAATAATATCAAAAATGTAAATGTTGTTGAACGGGCACGATTAGAGTACCAAGTAAGTTATGACCGCAAATTTGAATTCAAATAAAAAGGGAATTAAAACTGCCTCAAAATGTTGGATATGTGAAAATTCTGGATAGTTGAGCATACGAAAATCTTTGCTTTTTGCTTTATTAATTTTTGCTTGTGGTAGTAAACATATGAAAGTGAAATATCTTATTTGATTATGAAATCCTTTCAACCACGAAAGTTGGGAGGGGGGATGTCACCAAACCTGCACGAATGATCCCAGCAGGAGATTAAAGGGAATATTCTTTATTAGTTAGATAATTAATAGATACAAGTTTTGGATATAACATATAAAAATTTTAAGTTGCTTATCCTAGGTTTTCATGTTCCACAACTATTGTTTATCTTTTTTCAAATAAAATTGCTTATCATGCCCATTAATGCATACTTTTCTTAATGCTGAGGTACTGCAACTTTGAAAATACTTCACTGCATGCAATTCCGCAGAAGGCAAGTGCATCCTAAGACTGTATTTCTTTAATCTTGCTTACCAGTACATTTTTTGACTTTGACATTAGTGTCCATTTGTAATTTTTATTATTTTTTTTAAAATGGGCTGTACAAGAAACTCATTTAACTGCTTTTGAAACGAGAATTCTAAAACAAAATTATTGTAAAAATTGATGACTTTTAGCAATAGAGATACAAAATAAACCTTATAAATTGCATAAAAAAGTGATATCAAATACATAAATATTAACTGCATGAAATTTGATCACATTTGCCAGATGAATTCTTATTCTTTAAAATTTTTAAACATGTAAGAAAACTAAGGCTTTGATGGTTGAACTATTTCTAATATGGCATTAACATTATTAAAATTCAGGTCCAAGTACAGACTAGAGTGTGGAAGTAGGTTATATTGAATACCTTGGACCACCCTAGTCTGTCATGCCAATAAAAAAAAGAAATTAGTTCCATACTTCCAACACAGATTTAAGCATCAATTTATCACCAATAAATAGTTAAAGCAAATTTATTTTATCTATTTATTTCTGAGATTTGTTTAATTAAGAATTTAATTCCTTAAAATTCTGAATTCCTGCTTAAGCTATTGGGGGGGGGAAGAATACTGTTTGAAAAAAATCTTAGAAAGATAATTCTTATTTTACTTAACTGTGGCTTGTCATTTACAGGATTAGAATTTATAATGATAGCATTTTGTATATTTTTCAATTTTAGGAGTGGGGACCAGAGGGATACCACCTGTGGACTGTTGTAGTAAATAGTTTACATTCAAGAAAGAAATGTGAATTATCTGTACCAAACCGGGGTTACAAAGCAGTGGCTGTGTTTCAGTTTGTTAAAAGTGCTTTAACTGTAAATGCTGGAATGGTTAGTATTTGATAATAAAAATACAAAATAAATATTTAGTTAAATGTTATTGTACCACAAGCAAGAAAAAAATGAAAATACCATTAATCTTATAGTATCCTTATTCAAATATTTTAATTATGTTTTAATAATGAATCCTTATTCAGATATTATCTCTATTCAAATGAAATTAATATTACATTTTACTATTGTTTAAGAAATATATATGTAATAAATATTTTTATAAGAGTCTTGTAGCAGTTTATAGGTTGAGCACTTAACCCATTTAAAAAGTAATGCGAATCTGTGTATTTAATGTACTTAAAAGATTAGATATACAAGTAACCCTCGTATAACACGGTAAATACAGCGTAGGCAGTGTAGGTTCCTAGAAAATGCCATGTTGTGTGAAACCATGTTGTATGAGACCCAAAAGCAGTATAAAAAGGGGGGTTACGTTCCGAAAACGTATTAAAAATATTTTTTTAATTATACATAAACAACTTAATTTTTATTAAAATTTATATGCATGTATAACAAAAAACAAAAAATATTACATATTTTAATTTAACGCAACTTTAGTTTAATAAATTTGTTCATTGTCATTGTTCAGTATAATCAACAGAGAATGTTTTTTCAGTGAAATAAGATCGCTTTCACTTTCAAAATTTCATTCTTCATTAAAAGTTCTTGCATTTTCTTCCCTCTTTAAAAAATTTGTAATTTTGTTTGATTACTAGTTCTTACTCGGTCATTTTAAATTCTTGATATAGACCTAGACAGTTTTGCAGCTCTCTTTTGAATTTTCGGCTTATTTTAGCGGAAGGGTCTGCACTCAAAAATAGCTTGAGATTTTCAGCTTAGCATAAACCTTCTTTTAACATTTAAAATGTTAACTTATTAGCTTCACAATCTTCATCAGTGGTAGTGTTTTCAGAATCGATTTGATTTGCAGCTTCAGATGCCATTTCTATCAAATCTTCGTCAATTTCTTCTTTCTTCTGCTAATAAATCTTAAAAATCCTCAATAGCCATGTTCACAAAACCTTCGCCTCTGATTGATTTAGCAAGTTCTAATATCAGAATCGCAATAACAACCTTGTATTTAGCCTACATATATAAAAACACTATATTAAAAATACCTTTTTAATAGAAGTATTACTGTTTTAATTTTGAAAACACATAATATTATTCTCTCCACCTTTGTCTTGGAAGGATTAAGGTACAAAAATTTTTAATTATAAAATGCCTTTTCTTTTAAATTATTTTGTGCAAACTGTATTAAATACTGTATTAATTTTCTAAGACTGGACGGGAGCATGTCTTTCTTCAAGCAGAAGATAGGCTGTATATCAGTGCTGGGTCTGATATCATTCATAACAAACCTACATCATTTGATCGCAAGCAAGATCATGAAGTTCCTGCCTCTGTTGGTTTTTCCAGGGATCAAATGTTGTTTGGAAATAAACAATGGATTGTAATTCCTGTAAGTTTTACATTTTATAATCTGAAAATATATTAACAATCATGGTGCATGCAATGAACTGACAATATACTTTAAGTTGCACAGATTATGATGATATACACTGTCACATGGAAAAATTATTAGGTGAATTAAGCAAAAATTCCTCAGTAAAAAGTAGCACTTTTTATTCTAAGGAAATTAGGAATATTCTTGTTATAAGAACTATTTAAGGGGACAGTACACCTTTAACAATCCGAAAATGTTCAAAATTTGACCAATGTTTCTCATTTTTTTAAAAAACAACTATTCCAGTTATATGCATAAAACTTTCAGAGTATGTAGATCCATTATTTATAATAAAATAAAAAAATAATTAATGAAGAAAATTTAATATTTAGATACTTAAAAATTATCTTAAATAAAATTATGTTTTCATTTTTCGAAAATTCAACTTTTCACTGCGCGCCAGATATTTAATTTTATATTTATTTTTTAGTAATAAATTTAATGCTAAATTAAAGAAAAGATTTAGTTTCTAATTTTGTTCTATTATATATTAATTATTTTAAAATTTTTTTATTCTTAAATATTACAATATATATATAAAAATTAATTTTGCATAATTTTTGCTTTTAAGATGGTCATAAAAGTGTTAATTTACAATGTATATCAATGTCAGTAGAACACAAGGGTAATCATAATTGTTGTTAAGTGTTTACAAATTTGCAAAAGAGTTACTTAAATAGTTTTGGAAATATCCTGCGCGCAAGTTGTAAAAAACAGCGTTTTGAGATAAATGCAATTAAAGTATAAATTTATGAATAAAGTAATCTATTTTGAACTTTCATGAAAAATACATTTTATAAATACACGTAACTATGACTATTTGCCAGTGTATTAATAAATTTTGGAATGAAACATCAAAAAATGACAAAAATATGACTTCTTATGTATACTTACGTGGCCACAAATATTTTCGAAAAAAGCTAAATTCTTTGAAAAAATACAAAATTTGCAAATTCACTTAAATAAAAGAAGAAAAATTTAAGTGATAGTTAAAAGTTGATCATAGTCTATATAATAGAGATCTATATAACACAAGTATTATAGAATATTTTAATTTATTAAGAAAATATAAAGCAGCTTTAAAATTTTCCAGCTTCATATAGAATGCCCTCTATTTTTCTTTCTGAGTTTCAAATTTTACAGAGTTTGCCATGCGTTTTGCTCTGCGACTTTCTAAACTCATAGCTGAACTACGAATTTCTGCATCAAAAATTCGACTTTTATCAGCTTTTTTTTTTGCTGATTCAATTGCATACTGTCCTACACGAAAGCCCATTCTTTTTATACATTCAAGTCGACCTATCTCCCATCATTGAATGATATAATTGCTTCATATGCAGCAAGCTGTGCGATAAGTTTACTCGATCCGCTTGTTTTGGGGCATAGTTTCCACACAAGGGAATTAAATGATTCATTGGAGTTTTGTGTTTTGTCCCAAAGCAACGTTTCAAAAGTTTGGGATCTGAAAGATCTTTAAATATAGGTTTTATACAGTCCATCACTCACTGCAGCTGGCATGCTGTTCTTGTGTTGGGAATCCTTTCTCAGAACCAGCAGCTTTTGCTCTTTGGAACGCACACCATGAATTCTCACCTTGTGGACAAAATTCGTGAAGAGGTTCATCATCGGTAGAACGTTTATGATAGAATATAGCCCACACAGCTTTACGCATATCCATGCATGATCCCTTGTTGCTCCTAATAGCATTACCATAGTACGTTGTGAACTTGATCTATAACTTTATCTGTTAATCGAACCTTTTCCACTTAGTGGCTTATGATCAGCCAACTGGTTTTCCTCTCATATTGATTTTTAATTGTCGCAACCTATTACCCATTCGTTTCTGTACATGACCAACACATTCGATTTTTTTTCAACACAATATCACTTCCATAGTTATGATTTTTCTGCAATTCAGAAAATGTTTTCGTATCACCATCCCCAATATAGCTGACATATTGGACACTGTGCTTTTCTATGGAACGAATTGAATATTTTACATATTCCATCAACTTCCATCTTACCTGCAGATCCTTCGTGATTTTTATACATTTTTGTTCATGATTTGCTTTCCATAAAAGATATTGTGCTCCATACTTTGGCCCTTTCCAAGATTCACAACCTTTACAGTATGATGAAAGTACCTCAATGTCTAAAATTTACCAGTTTCTGCACCAATTACACTCGCAAATCCCACGGTGATGAATGGCCGCGCGTTTTCCATGATCCATCCCCACTAACTGTGAGGTCTGAGCAGCCAGTTGCTTCAATTTCTTGTTTCGCAGCATACGACATAGACATTTCAGCAACAATTTTTGAAGTTGTCGACAGCATTTTCTTAATTTTCTATAATATGCAGATTTTTGGGATAGGTGGTGGTAAGTCCATTACACCACAAAATGTGCGCATACCTGCAAGACCTTGACTAATACATCTCATTCCATACATAAATCTTCATTAATTTCTGGAATGTTTTTCTTGTCACCCATCATAGACGAAGAATAAAAGAAGTCAGTTCACCACAAGTATCGCAAAGCAGAAAAAATTTTGAAGATAATCCATTAGTGTTGTTTTCGCACACTTGTACATCCGATCCACATTGTTTACAACACAGATACTTGGAAATATTACTGAATAAAATTTCGATATCCAAAATTCTATATCCTTTAAATTTAGAATCAACAATTACGTTTTCAAAACAACTAGAATTAAGTTTTCTTGCTGAAGCACTCACAAAAATGCTTTGCTTGTCTGGTGTTGTGAAACGATTACCATGAAACTTTCGCTTCTTCTGACGCTTGCCAGAAGAACGTTTAGGAGTTTCACAATCCATATTCATAACTAAATTAATAAAGTACTTGTAAAGAGTATTTAAAGCGTACTATTTAGTTAATATAATCAGTAAATACACACAATAAACCACGGTAAAATCTTATAAACAAGGCAACAAACTTCAAACGAAATCACAGTTCTTAAACTTAGCTCTCATTTTCTACTACAACGTGATAAGCAAGCGATAACGTATCAAAACAAAATTAAAGTAGAAGTAACGTTTCATCTCCTCTTCTTCCACTGGCATATTTTTATTTAAAAATAGCAGTGGCTGGCTTTCAGCACACGAAATCCAAACTGAGGCCCTTTAAAACTATAAACAAACACTACAGCAGCTGCCACGATCATTGCCCATGTAAGAAAAACAGCTGCTTCGATATTTACATTATTTTCAATATCTCGCAAACTAATGAAGGTATGAAGTATGAAAAAAACAATTGCGTCAAATTCCTCAGAAATGATTGGGCTATATTGGAAATATTCTGCTTTTAAATTTGCATTGTGTTTGTTTTTAACCTTTTAAGCCTTAAATTTTTTTTAAAAAATTAGCCAGTGTTGAAACTTGCTTTTGCTGTTTTCTTGGGAATTGCAGTTTAATAAATACAAAGCTAATTATCTAAAAGTGTTTTTAATAGTATGCCAATTAAAAGGCATATATACAATAAATAGCCTTTTACTACATTATCTTTTACCAGCAAAATAAACTGTTAAGTATTTCGTCTACAGCAAAATGGCCTTTTCTTTTATTTAATGCTAATTGATTCAACTTTTTATATGAATGTGTGTGTAAGTTTGTCAACAAATGAATTATGTAACACTTAATTCTAAACTTTTCTGTGATAAAGTTGTTATAGTAGTACCCTTGTATCTGCATGTAATACATTCAAAGACTCAATGGAAATAGTAGCAAAAACTACATAAAGTAGAATATTCATTTAGTATATAAAAATAAAAATATTCATTTAGTATACATAAAGTAGAATATTCATTTAGTATACATAAAGTAGAATATTCATTTAATATTCATTTAATTGCACTTAACTGTAATAATGTCAACTATACATTATTACAGTTAAGTGCAATTGATAAATTATGTACGTAAAATAAAACTAGCATTAAATAATAAAGTCGTTTCTATGCAACAGTGCTATATTGAATTGTTTATTATATACTCTAGTATGAAAGTAATGCAAACATATTATATATTAGAATCTACTTTATCGCTTAATATTTATAAATGTAAGACCTTCTGACATTTTAAATTTAATTTCCAAAAGGCACATGAGAAAAAATGAAATATAGTTTGTGTACCATATAGTATAATATAATGTACTATTTCCAAGAATGGTAGAAATAAATACAGTCAAAAGTCTTTAATCCGGAATCGTTGGGACTTCGACGATTCCAGATTATCGGTTTTTCCGGTTTATAGATCATCAGTTTAAATCTGGTAAGATGGCATGCAAAAATTACAAAATTAAAAATATGAAACCATAATTTATGAAATAAAGAGCAATTGTGATCTAAAGGGTATCAAAATTTACAAAAAAAGGCTTAATATTTATTTGTTTGCTTTATTAAACATTTCTTTCAACGCACGCATACGTACAGCATACATTATGCATAGTCGAAATTATAAAATTGCAACCAGAAAACTATTTGATGTGTATTCGTGATATTTATAATGAATTTGATTTAAATCATATCAAAGACAGAGTACATCGAGATGAAATGCTACATTTAGCAATGAATTATAAGCCGAAAAAAAATAAAAACGTCTGCCCTGAAGATAAGGATAGTGCTGACAGATCAACTTCCAGTTCATTGCGCGCCGCGACGTTCCCCTTCCCCGCAGAGCAGCGTGAAATTGATAAACAGATTTCGGAATGGTTAGAGAAACAAAGGATATGCCTTTATCCATTTTTTGCAGCAATTTCACTTTTTGTTTAATGGACATCGAAACATGCTTTCACTTTGTAGATCTTTTGGCAGCTCCAGAATTGGAAACTCTTTTTGACATAATCAAAAGTTCAAGCTTACTTTTTATAAAATTGCTCTAACAGTCGGCAAAAAATAATAAGCTGGATCCAGTTCGAAGATTAAGGAACAACACAATCTGCAACAGTAACTGAAATAGATAAGTAGATGATTTTAGCTTAGCTTATACCATCCGTTATGCATTAAATGTGCATGCGTAAATGTATTATGCGCAGAAAGTTTATAGCTTTGAGATCCGGATTATAGATCATTCCGGATTAAAGACTTTTGACTGTATCATTAATTTTCCTATCCTTATAGTACACTGGTAGCTACCAAGTACTTGTATCATTATTTTTAGCTTTTGGAGTCCTTCTATGATAAATAGAACTTTGAATTGCTAGGGAATTATGATAACAAAACACTAATGTGAATAGGCTGAATTCTAGAATCAAGAATGAAAGTATCTTAAAGGAGTATGGGTATAGAAATCAATGTAAGTCAAATAAATATTCTGTAATCTCTGATAGCCAAAATTACCATACAGTAAATTTATGAACTATTTATACTATTTGCATCAACCTCAAATTAAAGATACCAGCAACTACCATCTGCTGACACTTAATATTATATTCATTTATTTCTATTTGAAGCTGTGGAAAATTGGTCGTTCAAGTGCATCAAATTGTAACAAAGTAATGCCTTTTGAGTATTGATTGAAATATGGGTTATGTTTAATAAAGGCCTGTTTAATAATTAAACAATTAACTATTTTATTTTTTTTCCCTGAATTCAATCCAAAAATTTTCACTTTTTTTTTAATTGCAATTTTTGCTCATTTTTCATTTGTAAGTGGGAGAATGTTATTAAAATAAATATTTGTAATATTTTTAAGCATCTAGAACAGCTTTTTTACAGCAAATAAAATAATATTTATTATTTGGAAGATGTTCTTTCTTCTGACATCAGCACCTAACTATCACCTTTTAGGTTGTATGTATAAAATATGTAATTACTTTACAGTTACATTTTATTACAATTACATTGACCTAACCTCTCTCTCTCTCCCTTTTTTTTTTTTTTTTTTTTTTTTTTTTTTTTCCGAAGATCTGATTTAGTGTGATAATTAATTTCTGATTTAGTGATGTTAAAACAAAGCAAGAGGCTAATTCTTTTACTGTTGTCGTTTTCCTTCAGTAAACACACATAGTACCAGCTCTTATTATTTTTTTTCCCCCTGTTGATAAAATTGCGTGTCTTTCTGCCAGTTTTAGTGAAGCTGATAAACATTCAGGAAGACTTTTCTTTTACCTTCTGCTGTTTACCTTTCAGTCTGTCAAATGATAATGTTCAATTGAAGCTGTAAATTTGTGTGCTTACAGCTATGTTTTTATACAACACATAAGCATTCCATAAACAGATATCTACAAGAAGTCATCTAGAGAACTTTTACTCCTACCATACCTAACAGTTCAGGCTCTGATTCCGAATCACTCTGAATGGCAAGAAATTTGCTGCATAGATTTTAAATTAGCCTTTTTTTTTTATGGTGAAAACTAGTTTTAACTCCTTATACACCAATAAAGTTATCAAATCAGCTGTAAAATGCATGTGAAAAATCTAAGCACTGAAAGATAAAAATCTGCTAAGTCATGCAAAACATGTCAAACAAATATAAATTTTTGGACCAATCAGAATAGAATAAAATAGACTTTACAAACTACAGAAATCGTCTATTGGCACTTAGCAGTATTATGCTTCTTTATTTGTAACTGAAGTTGTGGAAATTAGCTTGTGTGAGATGCACTTGTAAGTAAATAGTGCCTTTTAAATATGTATTGAAAATATGTGTTATGTGTAACAAAGTTGTATTTAATAAAAAAAAAAAGGATTCATAATCTATAGTGTTTTTTAAAATTTTAATACACAGAGGAGTTAAGCAGAAGGATTATGGATCAGAGTAATTTTTTGTCAGCTGAGGCTGCCCAGATATTGAGTGAGATAAGATTATGAAACATGTAGTTTGGCCATGTAATTGATCTCTTTGCTGAGACAGGAAGGCAAAATTAAATTTTCATTTCCTGTATTTAGTTTCCTGTAACAAACCCTCTAAGAAGGCATCTCATTCCATAGGCATACAGTCTTTGCTTTCCCTTAAATGACTAATTCAAATCCATATGTATATCGCTGAATATTATAAACACATATATTTGCCTAACAAAGTCATGTGTATTTATTTCTGCATGAAACGTCCAAAGTTAGTTCTTGTAAATACATTCCACTTGTAACTATATTTCTTTTTCTCATTTAAGAAAAATATTTGTATCATGTAATAGAGAACTAGTTCATAATTTATGTCATTGCCACAAATTCCAGTATATGCAGAGTTTAAGCAGCAGGTTTCCAGACACGAAATACTACTATTTTTTTATGTCGCCATACCTTTTTATTATTTAAGAACTTGTTGTCCAAAATGATGAACCAATTTAGATATGCTGCATTTTACTGTAATTTTCAACTGTTATAACAATTTCCCAAGGCTGCATAATTGAAATTATCAGGGGTAATTACTTTCCTAATTGCAATTATATATCAGAGTTGCATTATAACTATAATTAAAATATTATTGCAGTTATTATTATAATGCATCACATCAATTACAATTAAATTATGCAATTACTTTGTAATTATAATTGCAGTGTAACAACTTAAAAGCACTTTTTTTACTCGGAACCATGATAAGTGAAATTGTGTATATGGGAGTGTAAGTGTAACTTTATCACTAAGAAAATATAAAATTCAGATATATGAGAATGATATATAATATTTATTGTTGAATCTGGAGGAATAATATTTATGATTAAATCTTGAGAAAAGTGTAATACGAATAATAATAATTAAAATCTTATGAATAGAATGCTTGCATAGCTAAGAATATGTGGTATATGATTATTAATAGATTATATAATATCTCAGAAACATGCACATTGGCTGCATAGATGCATAGATGTAGAATGAAACAAGTGGAGTTATCATTTCTGCCGTTTGAATTATAATAATGCTGTTTTGATAAAGTCAGTTGAAATCAGAAGATTGGTACAGAAATTTTATTAAGTCAATAATATCTCCAATCATAGTTTGATGTAAAATTTGAACTTGATGGCTAAAGAAAAGCATTATCCACAGTTTAATGCAAATGTACATTATTCCCTAAATTCCCTTTTTAAAAAGCAGTTTGGCCATAAACTTTATATTTTTATCAGCTTTTGGCACAGTCAGAAAGTAGTCAGTTTTATGAAAAAAACTTAACATTTAGACTTAACATTTTAAAACTTAACAGTAAAAAGTCAGCAGTTTTATGACATCTTATAGTACGACTAAACATAGCCATTAAATTCAGTTTGAAATAATTGACACAACAGTCATAACATGGAATACCCTTGTTCCAAGACTAACTACATAACTGAATCCTTCTTCCTGTAATCCCAGTGCTTATATTGTGATATGTGTAAACAATTTAGAGGACTATGAATTCCCTATTTAAAGTTTGAATATTTTTCTAATTCACATTTTTTCTAAAATTTCACTAGCACATTTTATTTTTATGCAATGTGTGCTCACATTTAATTTTTCAGTTTGTATTTATGTGGTATGATGTTATGCACCATATGAATTCATTTAATTTTATGCAACAGTATTTAGATATTAGTCATTTTGTGTTTATAAAGATAATTTTAAGCATTGACATAAAGTACTTGGCATTCTTTACGTGTAAAATATTTTTAAATATTACATAAGGATACTGTTTTAAATTCATTAATTCAAATTTAATTACTATTTTTAATTGTATAACATTTATTTCTTATTAGATACCCTATGCATATCTGGGAAATAATTGGCCAATAAGGGTAAGTATTTTTAACCTTTTTTTTTTTTTTTTTTTTTTTTTTTTTTTTTTTTTGTAAATAAAATAATTTGGATATTCAGAGTAATAACCATTGTTATTAACATGTGTTATTTAGGCTGTTACTTGTTCTTTGATTTTTCTGAAAAATTGGTTGTTGTCAAAAAATGTTTTTGTAAAATTACAGTAGGAGTGTTATGAATTTGAATAAGTAATTAGGTTTAACTGTTTTGAATGTTCACGATGTAAACCTAGTCCTCATTTTTTTTAAATTCCAGACTTTCTTTTTTGGGGGGGATTGATTCAGCTTTTTCTTCAATTACTTTTTAATCTTAACTGATAGCTGTTTCATAAATACTTGATGTCCGTTACTTAAAGTGGAAAGTCAAGTTTTATGTTTAAACTGCATGGGTTTTGAAAAATTACTTTCAGAGGGGTTAAAAAAAGCCTGGTAATTAAAATCCTTGTTCTTGGAATTCTTATTTTTTTAACTTTTGTCATGTGTTTATAATGATGTGGTATGTAATATGATTGTATTTAATATTATCATTTTGATATTGTTATTAAATTATTGAAATCACCTGTTTGTATGCAAAAGCCTAGGAAATAATTGTTTATCTTAGTTAGCAAGCCTGATCAAAATGTTGTAGAGTGTTACGAAGCGAATAACGATATCTAATGCGTAGTTCGAATGGCTAGTAATAACTTGACTATTCTTGTTTGAACTATATTTTGTTTAAACGAGTTTGCATCAGTGGTAAATTTGATCTTGATTTGGATACAAAAAATTCATGACGATATCTTTCATTTATATTTAATGAAAGCACTAAAATATATCACAGCAATACACATACATCGCAATGGCGAACCACAGTTACATAATGTAAAAAAAAAAAACAGAATTCCTTTGGCACAACAGTGCCCTCTATCCTATGAAAAGTTCCAACACACCCCACCTGTGCTCTTTTAAGAGCACATTAAATTTACATATCAATAATATATTTAGATATAATCAAAATCAATATGCACAAATTAATACCGAAAAACTACATTGCAAATTAAATACAATACATGAAACAAACATATATATATAACTTTAAACTTCAAAAGGATAGATTAATCGGACGGGTCTTCGATAAGTCCTTGAGAAGTACGAATCAAACATGAACGAACGTACCCCATCCATACTACCTTTATAAACTTCTTCTATAATTCCAATAGGCCATAAAAATTTTGATTTCGTTGACCCCTCCAGCAATACAACCTCACCCTTTTTAAGATTCCTTTCAGGAGATGGATTTAGAAAAGTATGCGCAGACCGTAATTCGAGAAGATAATTCTCCTTCTACTTTTTCCAAATTTGTTTCAGAAGATTAGTTTGATACAGTTTTCTCCTAGTCAAAATCTGCCTGTTCAATGGTTCATTCCTGAAAAGGTCGGCGAAATGTACAGGATAAGAAATATTTTCTTGCCCTGGAAACAAGAAATGGGCAGGTGTAAGAGCTTCTGGCTCTTTTATTTCATTATGGACATAAGTAAGAGGTCTATGATTTAAAACTAACTCAATTTCTGATAGAATAGTCATCATTTCCTCAAAGTTAAGAAGAGCCCTTCCGAGAACCTTTCTCAAAGGATCTTTGATACTTTTCATAAGCCTTTCATAAAAACCACCCCACCAAGGCGCGTGAGGCGCAATATATTGCCAAGTTATGCTGTTTTATTGATATGAAATCTTTCAATTTTGAATCTATTATAATTTTTGCAAAATTCTTTAAGAATTTCATTAGTGGCTCTAAAGCTCTTAGCATTGTCGGAAATGATAACTTTACAATTTCTTCTCTCCTAGCTAAAAATCTCCTTAATGACAAAATAAAATTTTTTGTTGACATATTTGTGATTAATTCTATGTGCACAGCTCTAGTAACACTGCATGTAAATAATGTTATGTAAGCCTTTTGAGGCTTTTGAGACTATGTAATCCTTTCCTGATTTTATTAAAACTGGGCCAGTGAAATCTATGCCAGTTACAGTAAAAGGAGGGTTTTCAGTAATTCTACATTTAGGTAGTTGACTAGTTATTTGTTTAGCTGGTTTCAACTTTCGACAAATCTATTTTTTGACTTTCGACAAATTAGGCAGTTACCTAATACTCTTTTTATAATTTGTCTACCTCGTGGAATCCAAAATCTAGACCTAATTTTGGCTAGCGTAAATGTAACTCCACCATGAAAAATTTTATTATGTTCTCGAATAATAATTAACTCTGTAAATTTAGACTGCTTAGGAAGAAGTATAGGATGAGCTTCATCCTTTGTAAACGCTCCTTGTTCTAACCTTCCTTTTATGCGCAATACACCACAACTGTTGAGAAATGGGGCTAAATTCGAAAGTGGAGAGTTTTTAGGAATCGATTTACCATTTTCAAGGTTCTGCAATTCTAAGTTGAACTCTATGTTTTGCTCATGTTTTATCCAGTCTATTTCAGCATTTTGAAGTTCTTCTGCTGTGAGGGGACCTGCAATCGTTTGTCGTTTTTGAAGTTTATTAACAAACCGTTTAACTAGTGCAGTTACTCTTAGTACTTTTAACAAACAACTATGTTTCCTTAAATCTAAAATAAATTTCGAATTTTCTTCCAAACAGTTATTTTGCACTGTACTTTCAAATTCTTTTTTTAGCTCTAAGTCTACGTCTGTAGATTTTAAGTTCTCTCTTTCAGTAGGCCAGTATTCAGGTGATTGGCTTAGCCACGTTGGACCATGCCACCAAAGATGGTTTGTAGCTAAATTTGCTGCAGAAATTCCTCTGGACAAGATATCTGCAGGGTTATCCTTACCAGAGCAATGAGCCCAATTATTGGTATCTGATAAAGATTGAATTTCTTCTATTCTATTTTTTACGAAAGTTTTGTATTTACTAGCTTGTCCCTTAATCCAACATAATGTAATCATCGAGTCGGTCCAAAAATAACTAGAAGTATTAAATTTAAGACATTTACTTACTTGATGGACTAATCTTGCGGACAATAAAGCTCCCATTAATTCCAGTCTTGGTAATGTAAGACTTTTCAGAGGAGCTACACGACTTTTAGAACAAATAAAACTGATACTTATCCTCCCATATTCAGATATAGCTCTTAAATACAATACAGTTCCATAGGCTAAAAGAGATGAATCTGAAAAAGAATGAAATTCAAATGAAATAAATTTACAGTTCAAATTTGAAAAATAACATCTAGGAGTCTGGAGATCTTCTAAGTGTTCGATTTCACTGCACCACAACTGCCACTTGTGATCCAGTGATGATGGAAGTTTATCATCCCAGTCTATGTCATGACTCCACAGTTCCTGTAGAATGCACTTCAGCTTTATGATGAAAGGCCCAAGAAATCCGATAGGATCATAAATACGACCCACTACTCGAAGAATAAACCTTTTCGAAGCAGTTCCGTTCCTGACAAACTTTGATAATTCTTTTACGTTAAAAGATATACTGTCCGCATCTGGATCCCAAACTAGACCCAACACCTTGGATGGTGAGTCAAGTCCCGTACTTGAGCTCTTTTCCTCATCGATGTCGAACTCAGAATCTTTCCACAGCTTACGCAATTCCATGGAATTGGTTTTCCATTTTCGTAATATCATGCTTTAATCATTTCATAATATCATGCTCAAAATAATCTTTTGAGAATTTCTACACTTTCAGTCGTAATTTTCAAAGCCGCTTGCAAGTCTTCTTCGCCTCCAATCAAATCGTCGACATAAAACCATTCTGACAGTAATTTGCAAGTATCAGGAAATTCTTCTTTACATTTATCAAAATGATATTTCAGAGTTGCAGCTAATAAATATGGACTTGGTTTTAGTCCAAATAAAACTCTACTAAAGTTCATTTCTTGATATGAATTAGAACCGATATCATCAGTCCAGAAGAATCTAGTAAATTTTCTATCACTAGGATCGATCAAAATTTGTAGATACGCTTGCTTTATATCCGCTGTGAAGGCGATTGTATTTTGTCGAAACTTTAAAATCATTTCAAATAGATTTGGATACAAGTTTAGTCCTTTAAATAAACAGTCATTAATTGAAAGTTGTCCTCCTTCATGAGAAGAACCATCAAACACGATTCGAAGTCGACTAGTAGATTTGTCCTCGCGAATGACAGCGTGGTGGGGTAAGTAGAATGACTGCTCAGAATATGACACTTCAATATCTGACGACGAATTCTCAATGATACTTTCCCTACGATAATCATCAATTACCCTTTTGTAATCCTCATAAAAAGCTGTATCATTTCTAAATCTCCTAACCAGACTATTGAAACGTTTCCGAGCCACTTTTCTATTATTTGCTAATTTCTCCTGCATACCTGGTTTCCACGGCAACTTTACACAATATCTTCCATCTACGAAACCCAACAGAATTATTAAATTCATCAAGTATCTCCTGTTCCACTAAAGTCAAACACTCCGCTTCCTTGTTTTCAATACCTAAACTTTCCAGTTCCCAGAAACGCCTGAGTTCAGCTGATACAGTGCTTTGATCACCTAAAACTAAGTTCACAGCAGCCGTTTTACTCATATCACCACAATTTCCCTGCAAGGACCATCCAAGTTCTGTGTTTACAGCTACCAAAGACGTATTTAACCTTTCAAAACCTTTTGTCAACTTCCAATAAAAATCTATACCTATTAACAAGGAAATTTCATTATCATCTGACGCTTGATTATAACCCCACGTTAAGTTAATCCCTTGGCTTCCATTTCAGCTCTTGTACGCTCATTCGGCAAATTAATCGCCGCCCTCGAAATTTCATCTGTTTTCAACGCCTGTATCACGACTTCATTTCCATCTAAAATATTTCGCAATCTCACTCCAACTTTGCAACATGTTTGCAACCTAGAATCCTTTGCTCCAAATGAATAAATCTTTAATGTTTCTGACCCTAGACATTTTAATCCCAACTTCATAGATACATTTCTTTTAATAAAACTCTTCTCACTACCGTTATCAAACATTGCAATAACTGTACCTGACGATTTACGACCAACATTTTCTGTCCTAACACACTGCAATAAAATCACATTCCTATCATTTACAACTGAATTCGAAATAGTAGGCTGAATTTCCAATTCCTTTGGTTTTTCTTCTTCCGGTTTTGAATTAGATTTACACTTGCTAGAATTTTCAAATTTAAAACAAATAGCTTTGGCGTGTCTACCAAAGCAGAATGAACACTGTTTAGCATTACATTTTTTCACATAACAGTTTGTGTTACAACATAACAGACATCTCCTTTCCTTAATTAATTTATCCCTTTTTTTGCTGTACAGTCATGCTTTCACATTCAGTCTTACAGTGACCTTGACCACAGAATAAACAAACTTCGGAAGTTTTCGCCATAAATTCTGTTACTGACGCGTGTTGTTTATTGCGACTGGGAGGGAAGTTTCGTTTCTGATTTCGAAAATTGTTTTGTTTGTATTGGTTAGAATGAAAATTATTATATGAAGATACATTATTAGAATTAATACGGAATGCCTTTTCTCTTGCACTAATAGCATTGTGTAAAAACTTCATCAATTCCTGTAAATCATGACAATTATTTATATTTTGCTTAGAAAATTCAAGAGTCAATTCTTCTGGCAGATTTTTTAGTATTATGTTAGTCAGTATTGTTGTGTATGTTTCCGATTTGACATTTAATTCCTCTAAACATCTAATTTGAGTTTGGGCTTCAAAATAAAGGTTACGAAGGGCTTGAATGTTAGAAGCATTTTTTACAGGAGCCAGATTTAATAAATTTGACAAGTGAGCATTTATTAAAATGTCTCTTTGGCCAAATGTTTCAGAAATTAATTTAACAGCCTGTTTATAATTCTCTGGAGTAATTGAGAATCCTTTAATGCTAGCTAGGGCTTTACCACCTAATAACGACTTTAAATAGCAAAATTTGTCAACCTCAGTTAAATTAGAATTATTATGTACAGAATTCTCAAACTGATTCCAAAAATCTAAATATTCTGAAGGCTCACCATAGAATCGAGGAAGTGAAAGCTTAGGAAGTTTAGTTCTGTTTTCTAAATGCAAATTTTTATTTTCTACGTGAACATTTTCTGGATTTACTGTTTGTTCACCTGACTGATATGGAACTTTTCCAATTGATTTAATTTTGTTTTGCAACTTTACTTTAACTGGTATTATTTTTTCGTTATATTCATCTACTGTGTTAATTTCATCCTTAATTTCTTGTTCTTCTTTCAACAATTCATCAATGTCACTATTTAGTACGTTAATAATTTCAATTTTACTATTCAACTGTTCTAAATATGAATCACATACATCTATGTCAATATCTGATTCATTCAAATATATGTTTATTTTTTCTACTAACTTTAAAGTTTGTTCACGATGTGTGTCACGCTTAGTTCGAAGCTTTAACAATTTAGCCATTTTCACAGTTTCTAGCAACAAATTTTACCCCTCAAATACTTTAACAATAAATTCTAATTCTAGAATTCTAAGAAAACAAACTGTAATTTTCAACAACAAATCACACACTTCAAGCATTAACAACAAATTCTAATTCTAAGAAAGCACAACATTTTCTTACTTGCAAATACCAATGCAAATATTCAGTAAATGCGAAACCTAAAGTTGTAAATTTTTACCAAACAAGATCAACAACATCAAACAACCCTACTACTTCAACAATTACAAAATATTCTATTCAACCAAATTTTCAACGATACTATTTACTCATCCCACCATTACAATAATTCCCGGCCGATGCACCACATGTTACGAAGCGAATAACGATATCTAATGCGTAGTTCGAAAGGCTAGTAATAACTTGACTATTCTTGTTTGAACTATATTTTGTTTAAACGAGTTTGCATCAGTGGTAAATTTGATCTTGATTTGGATACAAAAAATTCATGACGATATCTTTCATTTATATGTAATGAAAGCACCAAAATATATCACAGCAATACACATACATCGCAATGGCGAACCACAGTTACATAATGTAAAAAAAAAAAAAAAAAAAAAAAAAACAGAATTCCTTTGGTGCAACAGCGCCCTCTATCCTATGAAAAGTTCCAACATAGAGCAGTGTTTTTCTAGGTGGAGTAAAGTTGTGAAACTATAATTCGGAAAACGGATGGCATCCTTTGTTTTTAATGAATTGATTTTTAAAAAAGAGTAATGAATTAAGGAATTATATCCTTTTCTTAAATGATAACTGCATTGCATGCAGTTTAAATCTCTTCCTAAAAGCATATTGAAGTGCTATTCCTTCTAGCAGATAGCATGTTCATAATTAATCTGTTATATTGCATGGATTACTAGAATTGTGAAAGGATATTATCACTGTCAGTTAAATAGAATCATTCTGAACATGGAAAATAGGAATGTGATTGCAGATGAAGCTGGAAAAACAATACTGTGTGATGCATTGCTTTTACTGAATATGTATGTCTGAATTACAGCTTAGAAAGAAGAAATGTTTTACTATTAACAATTTTCAAATAAATGGTAAAACAGAGGAAGTTATAGAAGAAATGCAACATGTTCAACTAATACAAGTTGTAAGAAATTTGAAGTTTGTATATATAATGATGAAATGGTTCAAATTACAGCACTAATGAGATACATTGTATCTGGGATAACTTTGTTAAACATATTAAAGTGTAACATGCAAGAAATTTTTTGAAGAAGATGGTAATGAAGTTGATGAAAAAGTGCGTCTTAGAGCTGATAGGGCAAAAGCATTCATCTTATTAGATGTACAACATCAGCCAATTAATTTTCAGAAATACTATGATGATAAACAATTTTTAAATAAAATTTGGGTAGAGAATTTAAATAGTCTATTATTGATAATTTAACATCATTTTAACTTTTATTTCTAATTTAAATTATTTAATTGTTTCTGTATGTATGTATTACTTATAAGTTAATTAAAACGCATTGAGATATTTCCACTTTGTTTACTGCTAATTGACACTAAACTTATTGTAACAGCGGTGGACAATCATGATTAGTAATATCCACTGCATTTATGCAAACAATTAGAACTTCTGTTATTGATGAAAAATTAAATTTAATGTACTTTTATCATTTGCATGATTTATTATTATTATTTTTTCCCCCAGTATACAGCTATAGATTCTCAAGGACAGAGTATGGCTGTTGCTGGGAGAAGTGGCTTAGCTCATTATTCATTGTTATTAAAGCGCTGGAAACTCTTTGGGAATGAAACTCAGGTAATATTTTTCGCAGTATTAAAAAATTCAAAACTTAAAATTTGTGAGCTGTAACAGTCAATATGACAAGTTTTTCCTCCTCTTCAGGAAAGAGATTTTGTTGTCATGGGTGGCTTATTGTGGTGGGAGGACCAGATAATACTTGGGTGCTTCAATCTTCGTGATTTAAGGGATGAGGTAAATGCACTTTTAGTTATGTATTATATATCTATATACACACAAGATGATTAAAAAAGTTGTGCTCATCACAGTAAGGAAGTAAAGTCTGCTGATTTAAATGTATGAGGAAGTTTCTGGAATATAAAATAGCAGAAGGTTAATATAAAAAGGTATATGTGAATCTGTTACTCAAATTATCAATAAATAATAATTTAATAAATCAAGATATTTCCAGGCTATTCCTCAAGATGTGCATTTTTTTCTTCCTTGTACGAAGTAAAAAGGAAGTATTGTAATCGCCAAAAGTTTCAGGCAGCATATTCAACGAAAGTATCCATTTTGACCGCTATCAAATGCAATTTAACAATGTTTTTGCGTGATATCTGTACGTAAGGACAGAATAAAAGACTCGTTTCCTCAAAAAAATTAAATTATAAAACTGCTTTAAAATTAATTCTGAAGAGAATGTTTCGTGGCGTCTGTACGAACATATGTACGTACGTACGTATCTCACATAACTTGAAAACGAGTAGTCTCAAGAACGTTGAAATTTTGTATATAGGACTGCTATAACATGAAGATATGCACCTCGTATTTTGGTTGCAATCGGCCGCACCAAATGTATATAAATACTATACTGTCAAAAGTCGGACACCCATAATCCGGACCTCAAAGCTACAAACTTTCTGTGCATGCGTATCGTTGACGCATTCGCGTAACACCTTTACGGCTGCGAATATGCGTGTGCACATGCGCAAAATATGTTTACGAATGCGCGTTTAATGTATAATGGACGGTATAAGCTAAGCTAAAATTATCTAATTCAGTTAATGTTGCAGATTGCGTTGTTCCTTAATCTTCAAATTGGATCCGGCTTATTATTTTTTGCAGACTGTTAGAACAATTTTATAAAAGTAAGCTTGAACTTTCGATTATGTCAAATAGAATTTCTGATATATATTTACTAATATGTAAAGGATCTACAAAGCGAAAGTAGGTTTCGAAGTCCATTAATCAAAAATGGGAATTGCTTCAAGAAATGGATAAATGATAATGGATTTGTTTATCTAACAATTTTGAAATCTGTTTATCAATTTCACGCTGCTCTGTGTGGGAGGGAGGGACGTCGCGGCGCGCAATGAACTGGAAGTTGATCTGTCAGCACTATCCTTATCTTCAGGACAGATGTTTTTTATGTTATTTGGCTTATAATTCCTTACTAAATGTAGTATTTCATCTCGATGTACTCCGTCTTTGATATGATTTAAATCAAATTCCATGTCATAATAATTCGCTTCCGATAGCTTCTTCGAAAACGAAAGAATTTCGATTGACAAATTAGTCGGTATTCTTGACACAGCAATTATAGGACTTGAACAGCGGAACTTTGTAACTGAACAAGAAATTATGTCTGTTTATAGAATTAAAGAGAAAGTATTATCACATAGAAAATGAAACAACTTAAACAACTTACATTGAAAGAAATGTTTAATAAAATAAACAAATAAATATTAAGCTTTTTTTTTGTAAATTTTGATACCCTTTAGATCATAATTGTTCTTTATTTCATAAATTATGGTTTCATATTTTTAATTTTATAATTTCTGCATGCCATCTTACCAGATTTAAACTGATGATCTATAATCCGGAATCGCCGAAGTCCCGACGAGTCCGGATTAACAACTTTTGACTGTATTTATATATATATCCACTCTGTTACTTGGCACTGTAATCTCAGTTTATTTATTATATGTTTGTAAATTGTACATTTTTTGCTTTAAAAATGATTGAATTATGTTGTTCTTATCTTCCGGTTAAGGTTTTTATGCCTTTCGTAATTCTGGAAGCAATATTTGTACAATTATCAAGAATTTAAAAGCTGTTTTAAGTGCGGTTTAAGTTTTAAATAACATGGCGGACATATTTGTTTACATTTGAAACAGCAGAATTGTAGATTTGTTGCCAATCTAGAGAGACTAAGCTTCGCAACAACAAAAATAACACCTTCATTTATTGTTGCGAATTAAATCATGCTTAATCCCTTCTGTAATTTTTTCGAGGAAATAAGTGTTTAAGATTTACTTCGTAATTTTTAATACAGATATTTTGAGTTTTTATTTATTTTTGCCTTGCCGCGAAGTGAGAACTGAATTAATTGAATGAGAAATACTAAATTGTGTGTGAAAAACTGTTTCTTTTCTGTTTTGTTTGCTTAATTTCTTTCATACATCGTTCTAGCTTTATTATAGTATTTGAATAGAACATGTGGCAACGATAAGATAATTCTTCAAATGATATAAATTTTGTGCATTCAGAGTGTCATTATAGTAAACAAATATAGTGAATTTTAAAGAGTGCATTTATTCAATTGTGGTTTATGCGCTGTCGACGAAGTAGATTTAATTCAATCCAATCAATTTAAATGAAATTCAAGAAAAAAATGCGCATAATTTAATATTCCGTACAAGGAAGTCATGTATTGTACGCATCAGATTTTTATATTTTTACATGTGGCTAATGTATTGAATTCATGTATTTACAATTTATCACAAGCAAATGACTTATGATATTATAAAATAGTAATATGATTATTTTCTTTTAGGAGATAAGATTTCACATATTTATTTAAATGTTAAGAACATTCAAACATTGTAAAACTTTCTGTCCAGTTTATTGGATAGTGATACTCAACCTCTTCAGTCACTAAGTTATTGAATGACTGATTTTAATCTATTATTAAATGCTTATTCAAGTTACTAGCTTTATGTGTGTGATGTTGTTAATTCTTATTTAATATATTAGTGTAGTCACTGGGAAACTGAAATGTTTTGTCTAGAGTATTTATTATAAACATTAAAATTATATTACCATTGTTCAGTGTAGTTCCATTTAATTCAATGTGCTAATTTCAGTTTTACACAAGTATGTAAATGCCATGGGTTGAAGGGATTCTTTAAGAATCTTTTTCTGTCATATCTGTATACATGTCAAGTGCTGGTACACCCACTTATGTACCAATGATCAATCCTCAATTTTTTCCCATAACTGCATTCCATTTAAAAAGGTATCCATATCTCATCATGTGATATTACACTGCAAACATGTTTCTTCTTCAATCTTATGCTGATACTGGAACTGATACATTTTTCTGTCCCTGCAAGTGCCAACCATTTGCATACCCGTTTTTTATCCACTTCTTGAAATTTCATCTTATTAAGAATGATATGATGGGTTGATTCAACTAATGGCCTATGATATATTGTCTTTACCATATCACATTTTCAACAATTGCAATATTGCCGTACTTGAGTACAGAACCAAGTGAGGAAATTCCTTCATTCTAATGACGCTGGTCATTTTCTTGGTCCTCATACTTATGCGTAACTTTCCTATCACTGTACTGAATTCCGATCTGCTGATGAAAATACATATTCATCAGTAATATTGAAAATACATATTCAGTGTCATTAGAATGAAATTCCTTCATTCTAATGACGCTGGTCATTTTCGTGGTCCTCATACTTATGCGTAACTTTCCTATCACTGTACTGAATTCCGATCTGCTGATGAAAATACATAACTTCAATTCCTTTGCTAAACAGAGATCTCACTCCAGTTAGCTGCTCTTGTTCAGTGCAATGTTCTTCTTGCTAACTGTTTTGTCTGTTGCCATGTATACTGTGAGCATAATATATGGTAACTTAAAGCCATTGCATGCATACAGTTATATACACCATGTTCATAATTTTTCATAAATTTTCTCCTATTGAATGGGCTGTTAAAAATGGGAAATTCTGTGTTTGCTGATATCATTTACATAGTTTTAAAATGTTAGCATCATATTTAGAATGGCAAATAATTTTTGTTTTTTGGATTAGGGAAAGTGTCTCAGCACTTTGTGTAAATAGTTACGCAATAAATATTTTAAAAAATCATAACAATGTACTGATTTTAAACTATTGTTTTCATGATAGATTCGAGTTTATCCTCAAGACAGCAAACTTGATAATCAATTCGTCCGTGTTGTGAAAATGGATTCTCAAGTTCTTCAGTTATCAGCTCTTGGAGATAGGCTTCTTAGTTTTTGTGCAGATTCTCACTTGACTCTTTTTCTTTTACAAAGAAAAACATCACCTACAAGTAAGTAAATTGTGTATTTATAATTTTATTGTTCAAGTTTAATTGAAAACATTACTCTGTAATATATAATGTTTCTAAAATAAATTTGAAATTCAATAATGTTCTAAATTTTATATACTCAAGTTTTTTTATTAACTGAATTATTGTTATAGGTAGCGTATTACATATTACAAGGCTTTTAGAACTTGATGTTACAAATTTAGTCTTCCATCCAGCTTGTGTTGTGTCAACGTTACTCACATCTTTGTGTACAGAAACAGGTCAGTTTTAATTTTTAATTTTATAATTTTGTAGATGTTATAATTTAACAAACAGAAATTATGTAATTTATGTTAGGTATTTTTATTAAATTGCATTTTATGTTTACTCACAAATTTAATTTCATAAGAATTTCTTACTGTTATTTAAGCAATCATAATAATAATTAATCCTAATACTTGCATTTTACATTATTTTTATTAGTTGAAAAATTATTAAATGTAAGTGACACTTAGTTTGCTTTAAATTGGAACTTTTTGTAATGAGTTAGCACTTATTTCATTTGGTTTTTTATTTTATTTCCGAGGAAGGATTTTAAAGTCAACATTTTGATAGTTTATGAAATCTTTAATTTTTAATGTGTTTCTATGTATATTTTCTGGGAAATTTCCTTACATTACCTAATCATTTTTAATGGCTGTGATATTATGATTGCCTGTGATAAATAAAAGATTGCGTTTTATTAACTTTTTTAACATTAGAAGCATACTTAGAATTTTTCCAAAATTTTTAGACTGTTTATGTTTTATTACTGTGCACTTTGTCATGTGTTGCCACTACATGGAACATGAGATCTTTAACTTGTTTTTCACTTGACCGTTTAGATATAGCAATTTAGCTAGAAAGAGAAGTGGAGAGCAAATGGGATGTGCAAGATGAAATTCTTGTTCATAATAATTTGGTTTTTGTTTAACTTTATTTTGATTGATTAATGTTTCAATTTTCAAATTTGAAATTTTGCTTGCTGATGCATTATGTAAAATCTCTTCATTATTAATTTTAGATAAGAATCATATGCTAGCAAGAATTTTGAAATGACTCAGTTTAGAGAGGTTTGTTCTAAGCAGTTACTATTTTTAGGATAAAATGGGGAAATAACCAGATTAAAATAGAATGTTAAAGGGCTGTTGCAAATTAAAGTTACAATTTTTATTTACCTGTTTTTTTAGCGTACATGTATGTAACTTATTACAGTGAGATGGCCTCGTAAAGGAGATGAAAGCATACTTATTAACATCTGTGGTCGTTTATTACTACTGCAGCAAGATCCTGTGTCGAGAACATCTGATGCTGCAAATAATAATACACAAGTATGTTTTCAAAATGTCATATATTTTTCGTATCTATTTATTTTATTGAAATATCAAAATAAAACTCTTTTTTTTTTTTTTTTTGGTAACTTTTTGTTATATAATACAAAGTACAAAGATCATCAGTATAATAAGAACAAACGTCATCCTTACTTTGTTACTTTGGTAAGACTTTTTTTGGGAATTATCTGAATTTTAGATCATTATTTTATATCTTAAGATGAAATAAAAAATATGAAATGGATGTTTATGAAATAATAAAGCATTTATGACCTAATGAGAACCAAAAATTTTTTAAAAGCTTGATGTTAACATTTGTTTTAATTGAGCATCAACATAAATTATTGAAACATTTATTTTATTTTTTTATGTGTGTTTATACTTTCTATTTAATATTATAGAAAAGCATAAATTCTTGTTCAGTTACAAAACTCCACTTTTCAAATTCTCACAAAATTGTTGATTGAAATCTTTTCATTCTTAATAACTTCTTGATTTTTTTTCATTGTTAGTGGTGATATTTTCTGGATTTAAAAGCATGCTACACATTTTGCCATCTACTAATGGATTGAAAAATGGGGCATTGTCATTGCAAGTTATCTTGTCTTCATTTCACATTTCTTTGCATATTTTCTTATATTCCATTAATTGAAAAATTTGCATTTATCTTTTGTCAAAGACATAACGCTTGTCATTTTTTAGATGTGGTGCACTCCTTGAGCACCAGGCATCACCTTTTTGGTTTGGCTTTTTTCCTGATGCAATCATATGTTTTTCTCCACTGTTTACTGAATTGATTTTTTATAATAAAATTTGTTGAGAAATTAACATGTGGCTATTCTGTTTCTTCAAGAAAGAATAACTATGTGAAAAGGGGGGGAGAGATTATGTTTGAATAACCACTTCATGAAATTAAAATATGACTTGAAACTGAAATGGCGATATTTTTGACAGTTTATATTACTAGAGATTACACCATCCTTTCATTCATTGATGATTTGAGCATTGTTATCACAATGGAAGACCTCAGTCATGTCATCTTCAGTTAGCTTTTCTTCACACATTCCATTATGCAGAAAACTTTGCCATCCAGAAACCTTCAGAATCTTGGCTGTCATCATACTAAAGGTAGTGGGCTATAAATAACTGCACGCATTTAAAACAAATATCTGCATATATGACCTGCTACAACCTTACAATGCAGCAGAGTTTATATTAAAATATTTTATTATGGCCTTACTGGGGCCTTACATTGACTTTAATAAGGCTGTTTTATGTCTGTATTTCAGTGCAGTCAAAATTCTGATGTTCATTAGCTCAGGGAAGACTAAAAACTGAGATGCTATCTTTAATTTTAATGAGATAACAGTAATAATAGCCTGAATGAAATAATAAATTGGATCAAATCAGAAAGTTAAGTACAGTTTGTACTGGAAGCTGAGCTTAAGTTAATTGGAATTTAAATCCTTCTTCCCAGCAAAATAAAACTAATATATACAACTATTCATTCCCAATAAATAGTAGTTTTTCAGCTTTACTTATCTTTTACAGGTTAGATAAGATAAAAAAAAATTGCTGTCCCACCATTCAAAACATCCACTCGAGGGCTTAGAATGGAAATGTGGGTCATTACCTGATGTATGTTCGAAGTTGAAAGAACATGCAAGACGATTTAAACTATCACAAATCATGATGCTTCTCAGCAGATGAAATCTCTGATAAAAGAAAAATCGATTTACAGTGCACGTTGAGTATCATATTCTTGGTTCCTACATTATATGGAAAAAAAAAAAAAAAAAAGCTTTATGGAGGCAATCTTTCTGATTATTAGATTCCTGATACTGTCAAAAATCTTTAAACTTGGACTCGTCGGGACTTCGGCGATTCCGGATTATCGATTTTTCCGGATTACAGATCATAAGTTTCTGGTAAGATGGCATACAGAAATTATAAAATTAAAAATATGAAACCGTAATTTATGAAATAAAGAACAATTATGATCTAAACGGTACCAAAATTTATATAAAAAAATTTATTTGTTTTATTTTGTATAAAATTTTATTTGTTTACTTTATTAAACATTTCTTTCAATGTATGTTGTTTAAGTTGCTTCGTTTTATGTGATAATACTTTCTCTTTAATTCTATAAACAGACGTAATTTCTTGTTCAGTTACAAAGTCCCACTGTTCAATTCCTATAATGCTGTGTCGCGAATACCGATTAATTTGTCAATCGAAATTTTTTCGTTTTCAATAACCTCTGTGTCACTTTCTTCAGTATCGGAAGCAAATTATAATGACGAGGAATTTGATTTAAATCATATCAAAGACGGAGTACATCGAAATGAAATACTACATTTAATAAGAATTATAAGCCAAATAAAATAAAAACATCTGCCCTGAAGATAAGGCTAGTGCTGACAGATCAACTTCCAGTTCATTGCACGCCGCGACGTTGCGCCCCCCCCTGCAGAGCAGCGTGAAATTGATAAACAGATTTCGGAATGGTTAGAGAAACAAAGGATATGCCTTTATCCTTTTTTTGCAGCTATTCCATTTTTTGTTTGATGGACATCGAAACATACTTTTGCTTTGTAGATAGATTCTTTGGCAGCTCCAGCATCGGAAATTCTATTTGACATAATTGAAAGTTCAAGTTTACTTTTATAAAATTGCTTTAACAGTCTGCAAAAAATAATAAGCCGGATCCATTTTGAAGATTAAGGAACAACGCAATCTGCAACAATCTGCATCAGAGATAATTAGATAATTTTAACTTAGCTTATACTGTCCGTTATACATTAAACACACATGCGCATGCGTAAAGGTATTACGTGCATGCATTAACGCATTAGGTGTTGACGCATGCGCGGAAAGTTTGTAGCTTTGAGGTCCGGATTATAGATCATTCCGGATTATGGGTGTCCGGATTAATGACTTTTGACTGTACCTGAATTTTGAAATTTGTAATGTAAAAATTTTTTAAAGCAAATTCCAAATTCTTTTGCATTATTATATCTTGTTTGTTTTTTGCGTGTTTCAGAAAATTCCGTCATATGGATTACCAACAGTCTTAGCTTCATGTGTAGAAAATGTTTGGGTTTGTTCTCATAGTTCAAAAGACACTCCTCATTTGACAGAAGCATTATGGATTGCTTGTGGTGCTCATGGTATGCGAGTAGGTACTTTTAGCGTATTTTCTTAGCAGTGTGAATAACTTATGTCATCTATTTAGCCAGATAATGAAATAATAAATTTATGAAGCTCTAGGGATAAAAAAACTAGGTGCAAGATATTTTGTTTGTGTTGAAATACAAAGCAAAATGTTCCCAACTTTTTATCTATCTAGTTTTGGAAGTGTGCTGAGCTATTTAAAATCCCTGCTTGACATTTTTGGTACCTACGTATTAGCACGGCACCTTGGCACAATTTGGCAATTTTTTACAGGTGAAAAAGTATTTATCAGGTACAAGTTGGTGATTTTCACAGCTTTTTTAGAAAGATTCTTGAACTGTAGATATTTGTTGCAAGTCAGCAAACATTATCAACAGATGGAAGTAAAACATACTTTAACAATTTGAAATAACAAATAGAAATTTTAATTACTAAATAAGGATTACATGATATATGGGGAAAAAATAAACACTTATATTTTTTACCAAATCTTTCTATAATGTTTTTGCATTATTCTTCTTTCTGAGTACTTATCAATTTGTTTTCTCTTAAAGAAATATCATAGAATTGCAGAGATTCAAGATCATGCAAACCTCTGCAATTTCAATTGTCTATCAAATGTATCTTCTTTGTTGTTCCATTTATAGATTTTATAGCAAAATTCTATTTTCCTGCAGAAATTATACCACAATTTCTTTCATTCTGCAAGTGCATATTTTAAAATTAAAGCAAAAAATATCATCATTTGAAGTCATTGGAACATGTAATACAACAAAGAGAATGCTTTTAAAAATAATAACATCGCTTGACTGAAGAATTGCTATGGGAATGATTATATGAAGAATTGGCTATGCATGTGGTTGCCAGAGTTTGACACATCCTGAAAATTTGGTGACTTCTACTAAGGTGGTTGTGATAACACTTAAGTACTCTTTTCTAACATCTTGAAAAAGTGTTATTGTTTCCATTTTAATAAAAAGTTCTGTCTGATTTATTAAGATCGACATTTGATGATGCATAAAATATTTTATTTATTTTTAGTATGAAAATTGCTATCATTGCAACGAAGTTGAACATTTAAAAAGTTATTTGGTCTACATTCTTTAATGAAAATTTTGAAACAAATGTTATTGCATACAGTATGCATGATAATTAAAAATATTTTCCAACATCAATGATATAATTTTCTATGTTGATTACAATATTTCTTTAAATAGTATATTGATTTCTTCAGTACACTGTTATCTGCATCCAGTTTAAAATTTAATAATGATAATGAAATTTTGTAGTAATATGTAAATTGTAGTCCTTCCTGTACAGTAAAAACTCAACTATCCGGAAAGTGTGAGAAATGTCACATGTTAAATATATGAAAATTCTAGGTAGTTGAGCATATAAAAAGTGTATTTCATGGTAAAGTCAAATCAATGGAAGAAGAAATTTCAGATTTGAAGTTATAAAAACAGTCCCTTTATTTGTCATCAAACATCTACATTTAAAATTATGAAAGATTCTGGAGAAAAAAGTGCATATCAGGCATAAAAGCCAGTGTGAGGAGTCCGCCAGAAAAATGTATACACTGTTACACTTTTTAAAGGGGGGGGAACTCTGTATATCATATTTCTTAATTACATTTACTTGTTATTCAGATATTTGTTATAAACCTTCAAGTAAGCATATGTTTACATTAGATATTTAAAATGTTGGCTATTGGCAGCCAAACACCTAACAGAATGATGAGTGGTCACAGCAGCGACAGTAGTCAATGTATCAGTGGGGACCGATGCATATGCCTCTGTAATCTTCTGGCGAAGGCTATCGAGCGTGCGCGGCTTACCTCAATACACTTTATCTTTCACAATTCCCCACAAGAAGAATTCCATGAGGGTAATATCTGGCAAAGAGGGAGTCAACTCAATGGGCCATCTTTGTCCAATCAAATGGCCTTGCAGATTGTCATCCAGGAAAGCTCATACTTCTAGGTGGTAGTGGGGTGGGGCCCCGTCTTGTTGGTAGACATTGTTGTCTCTATAAAGTGCATGTACACCTGGTAGAATTAATGTATGTAACATTTACAGGTATGTTTCTCCAGTGACAGTGCCATCAAAGAAGAAGGGTTTTGTCAAACACTGAGTTGTAAGTCCACACCAGACAGTAACCACTGGTAGATTGACTGCCTTATCAACATGGACATGCAGATTTTCAACACCGCCCAGTAGACACAGTTATATGTCAATTGACTGTTCCATTTGCTTTAAACTGGGCCTCATCAGACCACAACTACCTTCATCACAAACTCTTCATTGTTAGTTACCATTTGCTGATACCATTCACAAAATTGCATTCAACAATCGGGATCATCAGCATTAATGGCATGCAGTAATTGTGGAATGTAGCATTTCGACGTAGTGTTTTTCAGTTCATCATACACTTGTATTGCTTACCCCTACCTCCCATGCACATTATGTAGCAGACTTCTGTAGGTGACGTTTCAATCTTTTTCAACACATGAGCCGATGAAGCAGGACTTGTTGCTGTGGGCATTCTTTCTAATCTTCCTTTGTGAATCTCATAAATCATTCCATGCACCTCACTTGTCAACAATGCATTTAATTCGTAGGCAGGTTGGTCCTCTCCCCATTGACGCTGCACTTTGGTGGCATTTTCAAACTTGATAAAATACCTCAAAACATACTTATGCTGCTCAAACATCAAGCACGCGTCTGCCATTTTCTTATCTCACTAACCATGCTGACAGTAGCAACATCTGTTGGGTGAAAAATCATACTACAACATATTTAAATTTCAGAACAATTGTCAATGTGAGTATCGCAATACAGGATGACAAAGGGTGGATACATTTTTCTGGCAGACTCTGTATTTTTATAAGCCTTAAACATATAAAAGTAAAACATTGTAACATACAATAAAATCCCATGAACTGTGAAAGTTGGCAGAGATCCTGTGAAACTTGTGCCGACCATGCCAAGAGCAGTTGGAAAGAACAGACTACATTTTATGTAGTTAGATAATCAATAGATACAAGCTATAGGTACAGCGTGTAAAAAACTTTAATAGCTTTTCATAATATTTCACATTGGCAGGTGGAAAGAACAAACTATATTTTATGTAGTTAGATAATCAATTGATACAAGCTATAGATACAGCGTGTAAAAAACTTTAATAGCTTTTCGTAATATTTCACGTTGGCTAGTGATTGTTTATCCATTTTCAAATAAAGTTATGTATCATGCCTATTTAACGCAAACTTTTTGATGCCATGATCTCATAATTTTGAAAATATTCTACTGCATGCACTTCCATAGAAGGGAAGTTTCAAATTTTAATAATTTTTTCCAGAATGCAAGGAAAAAAACAGATAAATAACAATTTATTTAATATCCTTCTTTAAAAAAACTAAATCAGTTTATTGAGAAATTAATTAGATTTATAAATTGGCAAAATACGATGGATACAACACTAGAGGATAAATTGGCAAAATATGATGGATTCAACAGTAGGGGGTTGCTACATCTTCTGAAGGAGAGCAGTGTAATTGCATCTTTAATTTTAGGTGTTATAAGCAGGATTCTGAGTAGTAGTCTTATGTGTATTTTATGTTACCATTACAGATCTGTTATTTGTGTATTTTTTTGGTCTAAAAAATTCTAAAATACTCTGCTTTCTTGAGCTTTCTGGTTAATTGAATTTTAGATAGCTGGACTTATACTTTGTAAAATATGATGGATGCAACAGTAGGGGATAAATTGGCAAAATATGATGGATTCAACAGTAGGAGGTTGCTACATCATCTGAAGGAGAGCTGTGTAATTGCACCTTTAATATTAGGTGTTATAAGCAGGATTCTGAGTAGTAGTATTATGTGTATTTCATGATACCATTACAGATATCTTATTTGTGTATTTTTTTGGTCTAAAAAATTCTAAAATATTTTGCTTTCTTGAGCTTTCTGGTTAATTGGATTTTAGATAGCTGGACTTATACTTTGTATATATGCAAGATAAAAATGTATAAGGTAAAATTCTGACTTTAATATGCAGTAGTCTCTTAATTGTCTATTTTATTTGGCTATTTCATATTTCTGTCTTAAAAATAGTAACTGTTTATAATAAATCTCTAAACTGCATCGTTTCAAAATTAATCCATATCATAATGTTCTAATGTAACACCAATGATGCCTGCTCTTACATAAAGACTTCAGCCAATAATAATTTTATAAAATAATTTTTGTGGAGAAATCATCTTTATGAAAAAGTTTTTCAGATCCCAGAACACTGTATTTTAGTAGCAAAAATTTTAAAAGTTACTCAAAGCAATACTCAGGCATAAGCAAATTTGTGGGTTACCCATTCCTGATTATTACATATTTATAAGTGTAATAGGTTAAACAGAAATATTTACAAAACTTTTGATGTAGATCCTTTTTCCCCATTCTAATTAGTTACTGATTTTTAAACTGGACAGTTATGCTTCATAACTTTTATGGTCTTAGCATTTAATATTTTAAAGCTTGTGTATGATAATTTATTTTATGCCGTAGAAGTTCATACTATAGTTAACTTTAAGTAGCTACATTTAATCTTTTTTAAAATACATGAATTATTTTAATATACAGTTCATACAGTATAAATATATATTTGTTTACTAGTTCTGTTTTTACTAATTATATCGTGTTAAACAACAGAGAGCAAGATAGTGAATGAAAAAAAAAATATTTTAAGAAAACATCTATCCTAACATAATAAATGCTTAGTTGTATAAGAAATAAAATTGGAATATACATTGAATATTCATTCCTTAACATGAATTAGTGGTGTGTCATTGTAGATGTTTACTGTAACATGTCACTAATTAAGGAATGAATTTCAATGTATATTCTGATTAATTTTGTGAACAACTAATTTAATTGGGATTCATGAAACAGTAGAATAAAATCAGTTTTGATGTATCAGACCGATAAATCTTCTTATGTTGTTTGAATATTTGTCTGTGATTTATAAACAAGAGAATAAAACTTGTATGATACTCAGACTGGTGAATTTTTATTTCATTCGTATGCATATTGGTATATTGCTTTTGTTTTCCCATCTTAGGAAATGAAAATATGAGTGTGAAAAGTAATGTGTATATGTGTGTAGATGTACTGAAAATAATTTATCATTTATATTTTGCTTTTAAGTTTCTTTCTAATTATTGTTGCATATTTCATAAAGGTATGGTTACCTTTGTTTCCACGTGATGGTGAGAAACAGCGGGCTCATAACTTCATGTCCAAAAGAATTATGCTACCAGTTCCTGTATATATATATCCTTTAGGTAAAGCTATAATGTTCTTTTCATATGAGAGAAATAATTTGATACATTCTGTTCTTAATTATTTTTCATTATATTTATGGCTGATCATTCTATAATTAATAATCTACATTAGTATATATTTTAGCATATTGACAGTGAGCAGTTTGAAGAAATTTGTATCAACTTCAAATCAAAACAAAAAGCTTTGAGTGGACTGTCCTGAAGCACTTGATTGTGTTTTGTTAAATTCTAGTTTTTAAAAACATATAGTTTGAAATACAGATTTGAACTATCCTCCTCCAGTATATAAAATTTTGAAATTGCCAAAATATGTTTATGTTTATGTAAGTAATTTAAAATTTCACAGTTATTCAGCATTGGAGCTTTCCTTTTTATGGGTTATTTTCAGTAATTGCATTTTAATTTTGTTAAAACTGGAGTTCACATGTGTAACATATTTGCATTGAAATTTGTCAATATATGTTTGTCTTCTGTGTATTTCTTTTTGTTTGATAAACTTGTTTTAAGTATTTATTTCAATATTATTTTAAGATTAAAATCATCATTATCAAAATTTTATGTATATTTCAATCTGTTTTCATTTACTTCTGGTGCTTCTACTTGTTCTGTCAATGACAATATAAAGGTATTTTGTTTCTGAAAATATTTCAGCAGCAGTTATTGAAGTGGGAATTAATACTTAAAAGAGAATCTCTGTTTTTCAAAACTTTCTAAGATGTAAACAAATATACTCATACAAAATTAAGAGAATTTGGAAATTATGTCTCTTTTTTTTTAAAGTATTAATCCAAAAGTATTAATTATCCTGTAAAAGAATTATGCAAACATTGGGAGTCAAATATGTAAGCTTAGCTGTGCGTGTCTTTTGGAGCCGTGATTATAAGAGGAGGTATAATCGTATGAGGGTTTTTAGTGATTTGTGTGCTTATGCTCTTTTATGACATTTGCCATGTTTCTCGCAAGAGTTAGGTAAATTTTCTGAGGTATCAGGTAAAATGAGTATGATGGAATGAGATAAAGAATAGTCGGTAGATTGGAGGCAGGCGCCAATCACAAGTGCAAGTAGCTACAGAGCTCAGTGGGGCACCCAGTGTTGACACTGAATCTATATTGAGTAGACATGGACAATGTCAATCAAAACTCACAAGGATGAATGAGGATTGTTATTCGGCACTTGCCGGTGACACAGGGTTGCTACAGCTTCACAGCTCTCACATGAGCTGTATACCACCATGAGATAGGGCTGTATGCCAGAAGACCTGTTGTTTGTGTCCCACTTACTGCAGGGCACAGTACATTTAACTTTGTGCAGACAACATGCGCCTTGGACCAGACTTCAGTGGAGTGCTATACTTTTTTACAGATGAGTCAAGATTTAGCCTGGATACTGATTCTCAGCATACCTGTATCTGGAGAGAGTATCATACCATCCCTCCCTCATCACAGAAAGGAATCATTATGATTTAGGTGTAATGGTTAGATAGGTATTGTGTTAGATAGCCGTACATCCATGGATATGTGTTATAAAGGCTTTGTGGCTGTGATGAGGTACAGAAAGGAGATGCTAAAGTCCTGTGTTCGACAAGGGGACAGTTGGTCATGGGTTGCTATTAATGTATGATAATGCTTATCCACATAGGGCTTTGCTAATCAAAAATTACCTGGAAAGTGAGAATATTTGCCACATGGTTTGGCCATCCAGATCTCCTGACCTTAACTGTATAGAGTATGTCTGAGATGCTTTTATGAAGGCAATTTCATCTCACCATCCCCTTTCTTAGAACCACCCCAGCGTTGAAAACTGCCTTGCTGCAGGAGTGGGATTGACTGCCTTAAGTACTCCTCAACTCTGGCTGTGTGAGAAGACCATACCTCATATTAGATTGATTTTTAGTTTGATATCACAATGTGACTTTTTGATAGCCCTGCACTGTGAGCATTACTGATGGTCGTGGGTGTATAAAATGACTTTTGAAGGGTACATCTCTTTCTCTGTCATAAATGTATATTTATAGCAAATTTCATTAAAATCATATACAAATTTTCATAATTTTGGACATGAGAGTATTGTACTATCGAAATTTCAACTGTTATTCTGGCTTATTTATCTTTTAAACCAGAGGTGGGTAAACTACGACCTGTGTTCCAGCTCCAGCCCACCTAAGGTCTGGCCTGCAGCAAATTTAAAAAATGTATTTATATAATATATTTATGATATTACTATATATATTAAATATTTCTATTCAATATATATTATACAGAGTTTATGCTAAAACAGAAGGTGATATGTGTTTGATACGGAAAATGAGTTCACATGGAAGAAGTGTGTTATCTCATTTCATTGGCATTTGCACTGAGCATTTTAAGTTCCTCTCAGTGCCTTTCTGTTGTGGCATGAGCACAGATGAGTATAACAAGATTTACATCTTCCTTGAAAATGTAAATCTTGTTATACTCATCTGTAACATTATCAATAAGCAATACTTATTGATAATCTTCCTAAATGAATAAAAGTACTTTCTATTCCCCCCTCCCCCATTTTTAATGAATATGGAAATTTCAGTCTTATAATAAAGTTATCTTCACTAGCTTTAATAGCAAATATTGATGAAGGAGGATAACAAATTCAAGAACATAATAATCCAAAGAAGTTTGCTCGTCATTGCTAAAGCAGTATTATAAAAACAGTTTCTGTCTTTTTAGTACATACAGAATTCAATTTTCATGTCACAAGAATATCTTTTGTGTTGAATTGTAAAATTACGCCAACATTTAAAAATCTGAAATAAATGTAGAATATCCTAATATGGCAAATTAAAAGAGAAAGCTTTTAAAATAAAGTGCTGCTATTGTATAGCGGCAATTAAAATTACAGTATATTATTACTTTTTAAGATGAAACTCAATGAACGAAATTTCTTAAGGAAGTTAGTATAGTAATTCCACAGTATTTTGTCATCTAATTGCAGAGTGTTTGATTGTAAATAAAATGTTACTGTGAAAGAAGTATGAATTGTCTTAAAGTTTGCATAGTGCATAAGTGGGAAAATATATTCCTAAAAAGTGCAAAAAAGTGGCAGATCAATTTAAATAAGGAAACATTGGTTGAAACTCTTAAATGTGGGTGTTCTATAATATTTAAACAATACATCAACAGTTTAATTACAAAATAAATCATATCCATTGTATTTATATTTAATTATAAAGCTGATGAAAGTCATCTTAATTTATGTTTGGAAATATGTTAACTTTTTATTAATAAATTTATCTGAAGGAAATTGAATAAAATGCATTTAATAATTTTAACTGCATATGCTATGCTTCCATTCTGAAAATTTTCAGATTGAATGGGAATGAAATTTAGTTTTAAACATTTATTAATTAATTTTTAGCCTTTTAGATTATTTATCAATAAGGTAATATATACTATTTTTGTAAAGTATGGTTTCTCTTTCTTTTCATTTCTGCAAATTTTTTATCCATGGCTTACGACATAATTTTGGTGCAGGATAATGTAGTGCTCTTCTACAAATGTCAGTAGTTATTAAGCAAAAATTGAGAATAAAATTTAATTGAATTAAAAGTTGATGTTCTCAAATCAGTTCTTGGGGTATTCATTCAATTTATTTATTGAATCTCTATTAGAATGCAAACCCATCATTAATGATAACTTTAAATGTACAAAACAAATAACAAAATTAGTTTATGGATTGTTACACTTTAGTAAAATCTCTGTACTTAGTAAAACATTTCAGACATATTATATTCTAATGAAGTAGTCATTAGATTTAATTTTCATGTGTTTTAGAATAATATAACATTTACATAATATTAATCTTTTTCTTTTAAGCTTTCTTGCTTACTTTTATAAACTGTTATTTAGAGTTTTCAAATTGCCATGTATTACATATTGTACTAATTATGACTTCTATTTTCTGATGTATAATTTCTCTTATTTTACTGCAGCTGTATTATATGAAGATGCTGTTATCTTAGGTGCTGAAAATGAAACTGTTCTCCTCTCTGTTGATAGTTATGACAAACATCCATTTTCCATTGTTTCTCGTACGGTATGTGTTTTGATGTGTATCAGTTTCTGTACTGTACACTCTTTTAGTGTACACTTTTTTAGTAAGAGTGATAATCAATCCCTCTGTACACTTTTTTAGGAAGAGTGATAATCAATCCCTCTTCCTAAAAAAGTGTCACTTAAGCACCTTTTTTATATCTGCCTGTGCTTTATTATTATTTTTTTAAATTTCAGAGTCAAGTATACCTTCATCATATTTTAAGGCAGTTATTGAAAAGAAAGTGAGTGTAGTTTTTTTTTTTTTCTTCAAATACGTTTCATTAGTTTATCTTATTAACGTAGTAAAAGTTCTCTGTTTATTCGAGCTTTCAAAATCATGTATGGCAGTAATCTTTTTGAAGTTATACATCTATTATGAAAATGCTTAAAATGATGAATGGAATTAATATACGAAATATAGTGCGAAGAGGCTAAGGTGGAAATGAAGAACCATGAGTCTTTTAAGGGGGATTGGTCACAATGCTTTTTACATTTCTTAAGTTTCAAAATTAGCTTTTCACTCATGACCTAACAGCAGATTCATATTGTATGTACTTTGCATAAAATTCTTTATTAAATATTGTTGCACTTTTTATATGATTTTAAACTGATATGATTCTAAATCTAGATCAGTGTTTCTTCTGGTACGTCAAACAATGTATGCATAAAATCCCAAAGATGGAGCAGTATAGGATAGCTCTGTTAAGTCTGATGCATCATTACTAATAGTGTTAAAAAAAGCTTATTTGCCAATAATCATGATGCAGGTAAAAATTTGAAGATCAAAAGGGTTCAAAAAAATAGTGACTGCATTTAACCCTCAGCTGGAGGGGCTGGCATATGGTACAATTTTAGAGGGGCGGCGTATGAAGTACGCCAGGTCGTTTTTCGAGCCTCTGCTTTGGGTTTGAAATTATTTAATCTTATACATGCCATTAATAAGGGGATTCATCATAGTAAAAACGATATAAGAAAAAGAATAACAGAAAAAAGCAATATAGATGGAAATTATGAGTTTTTAATTAATTTAAAAAATGGATGCACTGGAAATGTAATTTAAAGTTATATAGTATTCTGTATAATTTTCTGTATGACAATTATAAGATCATAAATCAATTTACAAATTATAAATATTCCGTAAAGAAAAGTTCAGTAAGTAATAAATTTCACAAATGAAAAAATTAAAAACCTTTTGCTACTTTAATCCTCTTCAGATTGTCCCTGTTCACTGCAGCATTGTTTGCAAAGTTGTACTGTCTTGTCCAGATGATTTTTGCATGTAAACTTAGAACACTCAGAGCATTTTATAGTCATGTAATTATTCTTCATTCTACCGCACTCAGCGCAGCGTCCTTTGATCTTTTATGCAGGTTGTTCCTCGTCCCTTTCGGCCATCTTGTCCACTTCTGTTGTTACCAGCCTTCTAATAATAGCTTTGGAATGCGACAGGAGAAACGGCATTTTCAGATGATTCTGAAGAATTGGTTTCATCAAAGATGTAGCTAGATTTAAAAAAAAATATCTTCTAAACTTGATAGTTGCATCAGGTTTGGCGAAGTTCAAGAAAACTTGCAAATTTATGCCCGCTACGTTTAGCAGTGCAAAAAATATTGCCATTGTCCACTTCTTGGTTTTCCGTGCGACAGTGAAATTACTACAAAGTTGGTCTATGGTGTCAACTCTGCCTTTACATTTGTTATAATCCAAGATTATGTGAGGTTTATTCATTTCCTGGTCAATTTCGTCATCATTATATAAAGTACTGAGCAGTATTACACACTTATTTTTTTTCGTTGCATATGAAACAATTGTCATATCCTTTTGAAAACTAAACAGTGAACTGCTGACTTAACTTGTTTTTGATGGCTGGAATTCATTTGAAATTTTATTTTTATTTTTTTTTCAGCGTGCTCACAAGTGGGTAAGAAGATATTGAGCTAGCGGGTAGCTTGTATACCAATTATCAGTCGTCAGGTTACGTTTGGAACCTTTGTATGCATCAATTAGCCTTTTGACAATATCAATATGTGAATTAGAAGCCTTGTAAGGTCCTGGGGGTTGATTGCCACAATAAATTTCAAGCTTCAATGTATAAAACGTTCGTGAGTCAACAACTGCAAAAATTTTCAGACCGTACTTTGCGGGCTTGTTGGGGACGAATTGAATAAAGGAGCATCTCCCGCGAAAGGGTTCCAACTTCTCCTCGACTGCAAGTTCATCACCTGGTATATAAAAGTTTTGACAGTTCTGATTGAAAGATTCAGAAAATTCCCTTAGTGCAGCAAGCTTATTAGTTTTTCTTCGCACATACCTTGTGCCTTTATCGTCGAATCTAATAGCAGCTCACAGGTTTCTGAATCGCTTGAGACCCATGACCCCTTGCAAAATTTCAATTCCAGTACTGTCTTTTGCCCATGCTTCCTCCAAATTGAGTTTTGACATTTTTTTGCACCCTACTAAGAATAAAATTCCTAAAAAGGCCAACATTTCTGCTCTATTAGTATCATACAAGCTTCTGTTTGAGACGTTTTGGAGATCATCTGCAGTCCTGTTACATTTGAGATAAATATTTGTATATTGTATGATAGCATCAATCATATTTGTATTTATGATTTTCTGGAAAGTAGAAAGCTCATCATTTATATCGTCACAAGTTTTGGCACTTGGGCATATTTTTTCATCAAATTTTTTCGAGGAGTTCTGGCAAATTTGCTCTTCAGGGAAAATTTATTCCACTTATAAGTTTCCTTTTCTTTTTTCAGAAACTTTCCTCCAACTTTCTTCTTTTTGTAAATTGTTTTTACAAAAAAGTCCTCATATTTTAAATCACTCATGTTATTTTCAACATCACTAAAATCATCATTTGTTGGGGAAACATCATTTGAGGAAGGCAAATGAGGATGTTTAGAAACATTTCCCTCAATTTCTGAGTCACTTTCATGATTAGAATGTTCGATGACTTCCAATTCATCGACATCAGATGCGTTATCCAAATTGTCGGAGTCTTCATCAACCGAGAGTTCTTTCAAAACGCGCAAATAATCTTCAGGAGGTACAATATTCTTTCTGTGCATACTTGGAGGAGTGGCATACTGCATTCGCCTACGCGACATGTTCACCATAACTGCTTTCGGAAGGGAGGCAAAAACCAGATTGACCAGAAATATCATATGCATTGCACTCATGGAATATTTCTAGGAGGGTAGAGGAAGCTCAGGAAGAGGTTGTCTAAAAATTACAGCCCAAAAGATGGTATTGGCGTACTCTGTACGCCGGCTCCTCCATTGCAGGGTTAAGCCAGTAGATTGTTGTTTTGTAAGCTCAAACAATCATATAAACTCAGTCATACAATGCCAAATCATCCATATATATCTTCATTAAAGATGCCTGAATTTATGAAGGCTGAATAAATTTTTTCATGGTGGAAAGTTCAGAAGAGGATTTTATTTTGGGTACTTTCAAAGTTACTAGGCCCTTAGATTTGTTAATATGAATTGAATGGAGCTTTGTATTAAACAAACTCTCTGTGATATGAGACTCCTATAATACATAATTAAAAATTAAGGTCTACATCATTCTGTATTAATATTTGTTTATCAATATTTGAAGCCTATTTTCATGTATCAGTATTTTATTTTTAATTGACACTTAATTAGTATTTCTAAATAATAGATTATTTTTATGTATTATTATGTGCTTAATTTATGTTTGTATTAAGTTTTTATTATTTGATTTAATGATAATTAGCTAAATTAGATATGTATTAAACTCTTGTAATTAACCAAGCTGATTAATGTATGGATAAAATTGAGACTACATGTGATTAAAAACATTTTGTATGTTGTAAGAAATGAATTTTTCGTATGTTTTAAAGAATCAGTATACACTGTGTTGTTTAAGCTAGAGTTTAATTAAAATAATAATTGGTTTGATTTGTCACCTTGTTTTCCCCAGAAAAGTATTTGTGTTTCTTTTATTTTGCAGATTAGCATTGTTTAGGGCAATATAATGAATACTGTGTAAAATGTGGCATTATTATATATAAATTTGTGATGTCAGTTTTAGATAATATTCACTGTATGGTCTAAAAATATGGCATATCTACATTGTTCCTATAATGGGGTAGATTGTCTATGTATTTCAGTTCCTCACTGTAGCTCATTTCCATCTTTGTCCTTGCTTTTATATTAGCTACTCTTCAGTTATTGCATTTGCAATTCTTTAGGCTGATTAAATTGTACAATCCTTTTTGTTGTCATCTTTCTACAGGTACTTCTGCATATTATTTTCACTTTCATTTTGGAAAACATGTACATCCAAAGTTCCATTAAGGCTTTTTTCTATTGTCTCTTCTTTGGCTATGCCTTACACCTGTACTTTGTATTAGGGTCCTGTTAAACTTTTAACTTCATTTAGAGTTCTCTGTTGTGTGATTTACTTTATCAAAAATACAAAGTTAAAAAATCTCAAAGTTCTTAAAATATCTCTCTCAGAAAATTAATTCTAAACTTTTTTTAACCATGTACGATTAATGTGCTAAGTACCCATGCATTATAACTGATAGTTTAGCACATTCAAAAAAGTTTCTTCGAAAAGATTTTTTTTTTTTTTTTTTTTTTTTTTACATCCACGTTATCTTTCTTTAACATGATGAGATTCTGCCAAAGTATTCATGTGATTCAAAAAATAATGTCAGTAAATGTGGTAGTATATTAGATGTGAGTGCATTTACAAATGAGATAAGTACAAATGAGTTTCTTGGCTTTATAATATTCAAAGTGATGTTATATTTGCATTTTTCTTGATATATTGTTTGCAATGAGTTTCTTTCTAGAATTTATGGAAATACACTTTAGGCAGCCATAAAGTTATTTTTTATGAAATTCCATTTTTAAGGATTTTGGATGTATGTGTATCTCATTGCAAAATGCACATATGAGAACAGGCTGGCAAATCTAAAATTTCCTGAATCATTTAAAATATTCTTTCTGCTCTGAAATCAAGGTACTTATTTAAGCAAAGTCACTGCACCCAAATTAATATTATAAAGAAAATGAAAGCTATAAAAATATAAATTTATGATATGTAGACTAATATAAGGTGTGTTCGAAAAGTTCGGTGAATTTTACCATAAAAAAAAAGAAACAAGAGAAACAAGCAAAATAGCTTTACTGGCCTTCAAAGTATTCGCCATTAGCAACAATACACTTTTGACACCGGGTGTACAGTTGTTGGAAACTGTCTGCAAATGCATCTTTCGCTATGGCTCAAAGCACCGTTGTCACACATTGTTGGATCTCAGTAATGTCGGAAAAGTGTTGGCCTTTCAGAACTCCTTTGAGGTAGGGAAATAGGAAGAAGTCCACGGGAGCCAGATCTGGAGAATATGGAGGGAGATCCAAAACTGGAACCTGCGGCCTCTCGAGGAATTGGGTTACACAGATTGCAGTGTGCGGTCGAGCATTATCATGGAGCAGATTCCACTGTCCATTCTGGTACTGTGGCCGAATCCGGCATATGCGTAGCAGCAGTTTCAAAACCCCCTCCTAGTATTCCGCATTGATGGTTGTAGCCGCGGGTACAAATTCATGATGGATCAAACCCTTACTGTCGAAAAAGACGATCAACAGCGTCTTGATCCTGAATTGTGTCAAACAACTTTTTTTTTTGTAGGGGGTGATGACGTTCAACACCATGCCATGGATTGCCGCTTGGTCTCCAGATCATATTGATAGCACCACGACTCATCTCCTGTAATTATTGCTTCCAAGAATTGCGGATTCCGGTCACACATGTCGATAAAATCTCCAGAGGTTTCCATCTGGTATTGCTTTTGCTCGTCTGATAGCGAGTGGGGTACAAACCGGGTGCATATCTTACGTTTATGCAAATGTTTGTGCACAATGGTGCTCACACTGTCTAGGCTTATCTGCAATTCACCAGCTATCATTCTTAAAGATAGTCGTTGATCTGCTGCAAGCATCCGTCGAGCTCGTTCCACTTTGTCTGGAGTTGTGCTTGTTGTAGGGCGCCCTGACCGCGGCTCATCTTTAACATCCTCCTTTCCATCTGTAAAGCGTTTAAACCACTCATAAACACACATTTTACTCACTGCTTCCTAACCATAAACTTTCACTAACATGTCATGTGCCTCCGTCGCTGTTTTGCCTAACCTGAAGCAAAACTTTATGTTTATGCATTGCTCCATGTCACACTGACTGTGTTAAAATGCTCATAGCGTGCGCTTCCTCTTATCTGTCGTAAAATGGCCATTAGATGGCTCTAGATGACATTTCTCTCACTGCGTCTGCATGAGTGCAAGATCCTAACCGGTGCGATTTTTTAATTATGAGACCAATCACCGAACTTTTTGAACACACCTTGTAGCTAATGGTCTTGAAATTAATTTTAAGGCAGGTATTTTAAAGTTATGCCTTATTTGTAGCTTCTTGAAATGTAAGTTACTTTCTGTGATTATGTAGCAAATTTCTAAAAAGAAAAATACTTTTGTTTGTGATGTAATGGTAGTAAAAGAATAAGCATTAAGTGATTTTTAACTTTACATTCTGTCTTTGTTGCTGTAGAAATATCATATCACAGTCTTTATTCTGATTTTTTGTTATTTATTTTATTTGTGCCATCTGCTTGCATTTATTATTTATGAAAGTTTCTTTTACACAGATTGCAATGTAATATTTTATGTTTTATGTAGTTTAGGTTATCATGCTTGGGAAATTGCCCGAAGTTGCTCAACTCTACCATATTTTCCTCATTCACTAGAGCTTCTTTTACATGAAATCTTAGAAGAAGAAGCTACATCTTCAGATCCTATTCCAGGTGGGTGTAGTTCAAGAAAAGTATATTCATATATATTTTTCTTTTGTGATAAAACCTGTAATCTTGTAAATAAATCAGTGGTTTTTAAATGTTTATAATACTTTTAGTTTCATCTCAGGTTCAATTCATGGCAGTAGAATATGGACGGCATATAGGTACTTTCATGAATTTCTGCATGTGTAATATAAATTTGAGCCAGTTTTCCTTTAAACAACCTTCACACAGTTATCATTTCCCACACAAATAATCACAAAGTATTTTGGCATTATTAGCAAGCTATTCAGCAAAATCAATTTCATAATTAACATACTTGAGGTGGATTTTTATTACTTTAGATGTTCTGTGATAAAAACCTGGCCAGATCTTCAAGGTGGGAGACTACTGATATTTTACAACACTCATGACAACACCATTTATGACATATATCTTCAACCTTCTCTTATTCCTAAAATTTCTCAAGATTTTTTTTAAAATTCACCGTAATATATATATATATATATATATTAAATCCCAAAACTTGATTTCCGTGATTCTTCCAATTTTTTAAAAAAGGTTTCATCAACTTCTACCATTATGCATGTGAAAGTAGATTTATCTGAAAATACCATGATCTGATTCTCCAGTGAGATCAAGTGCAGCTGCAAATCATCTGGCACATATCAATCAATGATCACAAAGCATGACTGAGTATTCTGTATTCCTTGAGTTGGTAAGCAGTGTGAAGTTTGTGTGCTTGTTGAAGTTGTTTAAGGATTTGTGAACTTTGGTCTGTGGAATTAATATGTTCATGTACTTTTTGAAAACACTATACAGATGACTTTCCTTGTATTACTTCATCAAGAGAATGTACTATATTTGCAATATATGCCATTTTCTGTAAGGTTTTTCTATTTTGCATGGTGGATGAGCCAACATACTGAAGCATGCGTCTACGCAAAAATATAAGAACAACATAAATTGTATTTAAGAAAATAAATTTTTTTTGTGGAAATAAGGAACCAAAAAGTTATTAATCCAGAATGCTTATTTTCTCCCTTTTTACTTCCTTGTATGAAGTAAAGGAAGTATTGTACTCACGAAAAATTTCAGGTATCATATTTCAACAAAAATATCCGTTTTGAGCTCTGTCGAATGCAAAAACCTTTCCCTGGTAGATGCAGTTGCCTTCCCATCATATCCCAGGCACGTTTGACGAGAGAGAGATCTGGTGAACTGGCTGGCTAAAGAAGTGTTTAACAAGCTGTAAGACAATGCGTAGTAACAACTGCCATATGTAGTCTGGCATTATCTTGCTGAAAAATAAGGCCAGGGTATTTCAAAAGGAACAATATCAAAACAGGTGTCAGAATGTCGTTAACATACCACTGTGTTGTAAGTGTGCCTCTAATGACAACCAAAGGGTCCGGCTATTAATGGAAATGGCATCCTAGACATGCAGTGTGTAGATGCAGTAGGGAAAGCAGGATCAGCATAGTGCTTTGGGCTTTTCCAGACACGTCTTTGATGATCGTGACAACACAATTAGAAGCGGGTTTCATTGCTGAAGACTATACACCCCCAAGCAGCATCATTCCAACTTGATCGAGCCAGACAATGTAATTTGGCTCATTAGTGTGCAGGCATGAGGGGCAGGTGGCATAACAAGCATAGATTTTGCTCTATCAGCCATCTGTGAATGGTCATGGTGGACATTCGTGTGTGTGTTACACATCTGATAGTTGATAGCAATGAATCAGGCACTGTAACAGCTGATCTGACAATCACTCTGTCTTCCTGATCTGTTGTTGCCCTAGGTCAACTGCTACCATCCTGACTCTGAAATCTGCCATTGTCTACCCATTCTTGCCAGTATCTTTTAATCACCATATCACTTAAACTCATATGACGAGCGATTTTCCAATTTACCTGACCTGTCTCTTTCAATCCAATGATATGACCTCTTTCAAGCTCTTGACAGTTGCTTTTAACGAGCTCTAATCCTGCGGCGAGGTATTTTTTCAATCGTTGAAAGGTATCCAAAATCGAAGTCGCTATACATCTGCTGGATGCACAGTTCCAATGAGCTGGAGATCGTACTATTCATTCATTCACTGGACACCAAAATTTTAATCATTTCCATATTTGATCAAAACATTTATGCATATGAAATTTCAAAGCAATTGGATGATTCCTTCTTGTGTGTTGATTTTTTTTTTGGGGGGGGTTCTATAGAATGTATATTTATATATATAAATCTGCATGCAATATATATATATATATATATATATAAAGCTTAATATTTATTTGTTGACTTTATTAAACATTTTTTTCAGCGCGCCCATGTGTAAAGCATACATTACGCATAGTCGAAATTAGAAATTATTTGCTATGACAACCTGTGAATCAATTATCATTGTATTTCTGAATACAAAGTTTTACTTTTTTATTAATTTGTTTTTATATTATTATTTATTGTTTTTTTTATTAACTTTATATTTAAACCAACTGAGAAATACCAGTACTTAAATTCATGTATTGATAAATTGAAATCTATGTGTTTTATTTTGAAACACATATATATGTTATGTTACATTTTCTTGAAACATTGTGCTGCCAAACACTTTCAGCCCACTGCATATTGCAGTGAATGTAATAGGAGTTTTGAAAACAAATTATGAAAATAAGCAGAGTTATCTTTTTTAGTATAAGGAATTGTCAATAATAAAGCATGCAAGAAACTAACTTTTTAATAAACTACTTAATTACTTATGTATTTAGTATGAAAATTTACTAATTATTTTTTCTTTTGTCATTTGTATGTAATGATTTTTTAACTACGTGTTCTCCTGATCAAGATTTTCCCATCTAATTAAAACTCTCTGTATGAATCAGGAATCTAAAAATTCTGAATTTGTATGCATTTATACTTTTACTTAAGGAATAAAACTAGAATTTAGATCCATCTATGATACTAAATTCTATTTAATATTTTATCACTAAGTTTAGTTTAATTAAAACTTGTTACTAATTTTTTATTTTATGTTACATTTGTGAAAAAGATTTCTCGTTTGGGATGTTTTTTGTTTTTAAAGTATTTTAAGTATTTAACATTTTTTAGTTATTTTTTATTTGAGCCCTAACTGCAAAGGTGCTTTTTTTTTTTTTTTTTTTTTTTTTTTTTTTTTTACTATGTGTGAATGCAATTTTTTAGAATTTTTGCATTTAAATCTCGATCCTCAGTGTGAAGTGATCTTTTGCTCTTTATTTTTATAATTATGTACTTTGATCTGCATGTATTCTGACACTGCATTTTTTAAATTTTCAGATGCCTTACTCCCTAGAATAATAGATTTTATTCAGGAATTTCCTGTTTTTCTACAAACTGTTGTACAATGTGCAAGAAAGACAGAACTAGCATTATGGCCTTATCTCTTTTCAGCTGTTGGTAACCCTAAGAACTTGTTTCAAGTAAGTGTTATTTTTAAGGTTAAAATAAAGAACAATAAAAAAAAATACATAAATATGTGTTAAAATCACTGTATTTTAAATAACTCAATTAATTTAGTTTTCTCTAGATTTTGTATTATCTTAAGTAGCATGGAGCTGTATTTGAGTGGTGTGCTAATTTACGTAATCATGGATAATATTTAAAAATATTTTGACCAGAATGTAGTGATAGTAAAAAGTATGAGAATGAAATAATAATAAAGTAGTAAATTCAGATTTTAAATAATAGATTAAATAAATTTATTTATTTTCTGTATAAATCTTGATATTATTTTAAGCATACATTTTTATTCATCTTTGGTACAGTGCTTCGTAATCTTAATTATATACCTTTGTATTATTAGAAGGCATGAACTCTCTTGTCATATATCTAGTATACTGTGTGTCTTTTTCTCGATATTATGTGATGCATATTTATGTATTTTTAGAATATTAATGGAATAATATATTTTTGTAAGTACTTTCTGACTAACATACACCCCTTATTTCAACATTTCATAGAATTACTGTGTCTTTGGCCTACTCTTGAGTATACATTTGACAATAGCCAACCAACCCATGTGTGAGCATACTATGCATGTGTTTGAGTGCATGTGGATTTACATCCTTTATTTTTCTGAGTCTTATTCATGGGCTGTAAAATTGTAAATGTTGGCCATATAAATTTCTGTTTTACTTACATTTCTTGTTATAATTATTTATTAACAGAACAGTACTTATTACCCATAAACAAGTATTTTGCAAAGTTACCAGTGAGTTGAGGACTTTTTGTAGGGATGAGAATAATAAGGAAATTCCTATTTTTATTTGAAATGACTATTTTTCTCAGGCTTGTCTTAATCAAGGCCAACTTGATACTGCTGCTTCTTATCTAATCATTCTACAGAACTTGGAATTATCGTCTGTAAGTCAACAGCATGCAACTCTTCTTTTAGACTCATCATTAGAAGCTGGAAAATGGGAGGTATGTTCATTTTTCAATTATTTATAAATAAAAAAATGTATACATATAAGATACTGGATAAATGCACTGCATTTTAAAATTTTTCATTGAAACTTATGTGTATGTAGAAATTGCATATGCATTCATTCGTTAGATATTGGTATTTCCTGTTATCTGGAAGTTGAGCTTTATAGTAAATTTATTCCTTAAATAAAATAGCCCCCTTCCCCACCAAAAAAACCTTTTATGATTAATTTATGTGAGAAGTATTCTAGAGTATTCCCAAACCCCAAAAGTAGCCTATTGTGAATCACATCAAATAATGTATAAATCTTTAAAAAAAATCTAGTATAAAGTAAAAGTAAGAATGTTATGATAAAGGCATAGTCTAAACTGATGTTTATTTCTTTTGTATAGTGTGTAGTTATCATACTTCCAAATTTCAATTTATCATCATAAATCAACATTTCTTCTTTTAGAGTAGTGTAGTTTTGCTTTCTGAAATCAAGAAGGTAGCAAGCAGCATAGTAGAAGACTGAGTAGTTATAAAGGTGTTGATGATGTGTTAAGTTGGATCATTAAAATTTCATGGATGTGAGGTTTAGGAGATTGAAACATAGGAACAGAAAAGGATTAACTTTTAAAATCTTGTCATTATTTTAGTCCATCAGGGCAGGTAAGACAGTAAGGAGTAAATCTAACAACAATTTTTCATAATTGATAACTAACCACGACTTTTATGAGACGTTTTTTGTATATATCTATATTATTGTTTCAATCAGAAGCTTCCTGTGAATTTCAAGTAAAAATCTATTATTACCAACAATGGCAAAGAACGGTTCTGATCATAATTTTTCTTCTCTTTGCTTGATTAAGCTCTCGACAGCATTATTCTAAAGCATTTATGTTTTTGAGCAAAATGTGCATGAAATAGAAATACTTTAGTTAAAAATCCAGAAATAAAAAGATTCGGAACATTTCTATCAATGTCACATTGCACGTAGCTTCATAATGTTGCTTTTAAAATTATATTTGCTGCATTCATGTGGTTCTGTAAGATCTTATTTGTTGAAAAAAATTGCATTTTTCTTAGAGATACTAAAATTTGTTGCTGAATGTGTAGCCCTTTATCTACAGCTCTGTGTGTGCTTGTCTGCCTTTGTGTCAAAGGCTGAGATTTGTAGCCTTTTGTGACTGAAGTGGAATGTTTGAAACATTCTTAACTGCTTGTTCATTTTTCCTTTTATTAACACTCAAAACACTTTGCATACCTGACCAGAATAAATACTAACAGCAAATAGTGGATTGAATGCACATGGAACCAGTAACAGCTTGATGAAATTTATTTTCCCTAAAGAAACACTTTACAATTCTGAAACTTTTCACAAGAGTTCTTGTACAACTCTTCTCAGTAGTTATCACAATAGTTATCACTTCAAACTGCTAAGGACATTAAACACAAGACAGTATACAAAATTTCAGTACTGAACTGAAAAGAACTGATGCTTTTCATAGCCTCCCTGGCAGCCAAGAAACTTCCAGCAACTTCAATTTCTCGAAATTTGTGGAAGGCATACAGTTACAGTTACAGTTACATATGGTTGGACACAGTTATAGTTACATAATTATTGGACCAGTTATAGTATACAGGGGTCATACCAAAATGTTGCATAAATAGTCATTAATTTGGTGCCATTTGGCAATTTCTTGCCAGCTTGGTGCTATCTTGCTAATCTGGCAAGACAACCATTTACCTCTGTGTTAAATAGACTCCCCTCTGTAACCTTAATTTTCCAGCGAAACTTTGCTCTCTCCGTTCAAGGTCAACGTATACTCAAGGCCTACCAGACTGAACTAAATTCCGGTTCCCAGTTTTCAGTGGCTTTCGTGAAATTCATCACTAGGTGGCGCTCGCACTCTGCTACAATTTTGTTATACGCTCACTATTTGTAACGTGGCTCGTTATTAACAAAAAGTGTATTTTATGTCTAGTTGCTGTATATTTAAGGGCTATACTTATCAAGCTTAGTTTTTTTTTTTCATTTAACTTTATACGCATATAGGTTTAAAATTGTGTATATACCTCATTGAACTCAGTTCTGAAATTCCTCATTCTGCTTATTTAATTCTGAAATCTTTTTGCATCTAATGTTGTTATTTTCAAAACTTTGTAACTTTCTTCTGATTAATCTGGAATGGGAATGGTACACATGGATTTATGTCAGGTAGTTGCATGTAGGTAATGTATCAAGATGGCACTCATGTATATGTGTGCTTAATAGTGATAATATTGTTTTGTGAAATTCAGTAATATTATTTCATATATACATTATTCTTGATGATGAACTATATCAGTATCTCACGCTGCCAGCCATAAAATTTTGCACACATGTCATTCTGATTAATGTTGTATATGTGTAAAAAATATCTAGCTGTTTTATATTTAAGGGCTATACTTAATAAGCTTGTTTTTTTGCCTAACTTTATATGCATATAGGTTTAAAATTGTGTATATACCTCATTGAACTCAGTTCTGAAATTCTTCATTCTGCTTATTTAATTCTGAAATCTTTGTGCATCTAATGCTGTTACTTTCAAAACTTTGTGTGGAACTTTCTTCTGATTAATCTGGAATGGGAATGCTACACATGGATTTATGTCATGTAGGTAATGTATCAAGATGGCACTCATGTGTATGTGTGCTTAATAGTGATAATATTGTTTTGTGAAATTCAGTAATTTTATTTCATGTATACATTATTCTTGATAATGAACTATATCAGTATCTCACGCTTGCCAGCCATAAAAATTTTGTACACATGTCATTCTGATAAATGTTGTATGTGTGTAAAAAATGTCTACCTGCTGTATATTTAAGTGATGCATTTAATAAGCTTGTTTTTTTTGCCTAACTTTAAATGCATATATATCTAAAATTGTGTATATACCTCATTCTACTTAGCATTGTGGGCATGTATGATGGATATATTATTTATATTCAGCCATTGCAAGTTTTCAAATTTTATCCTTGATATACTGAACGTTTTCTTAAGTATATATTGTGATTATGAGAGTTATTATTTTTTGTGTGCTGTTAAAATATATTTTAGGATGTCTGTGTCTCTTTTATTTATAACAAACAGATTGATTTGATCAATAGCTTTATCAAAAATTTCATTATTTTCATTTGAAAAATTGAAGTTTCTCTAACACTGAAAATGTAAATTGCTGCAATGCACTTAATTCAATTACTAGTTTCTTAATGTTAACATCAATGAAATTTAGAATACAAATGAAAGTGAAGAGAAAACACACCTGTGTAATATTAAAATTAGTCAAAAAAGCAACTTTGGGTTTGAGTTTCATTCAAAATCTATGCCACAGTAAGACTTTTTTTTTTTTTTGGGCCTAATAATTTTAGAATGTCTTTGAATATCTGCAATGCAAATACTGCACAGAGATCAAAATCTGCATTATTTAAACTTTTATTGTTTAAGATTTCCTAAAAACAGTTATTTAATAATTTAAAAAATTCTTCAGTATGTAAAATTTAATCTCTTTAAGTAATATTTTTACTCCAATGCCGTGGAAACAGATATACAAATTTTAGATCACGGTGTATTAATATGTTAATTACATCTTTGATAGGGGATACTAAATTATTTTTTGGCCCAGTACAGCCGATAGAAATATTTTGAAAATTTTTCACTGAAATAGTACATGATCTGAAGCTATCTGTTAACTTCTTACTATATAAATAATTAAAAAATAAGGTGTATACTCTGAATTACCTTTAAATTAGAATAAATAGTTGTAATGCGTACAATTCCAGAATAGCGCATTTCTAGATGAAAGCAGGAATTAAAATCGAGATCAAATAGCTGGTGTTTATGTGGAAAAAAAAAAAATAAAAGGTGAGATAGCTTAAAATTCCATGCTTTCCTTCTAATTAAAATAATCAACAATTTCTGACTACTATAGGATTAATCGTTTTTAAACTTTGCATATAACAAGACAGAATTCGTTTTTGGTACTTTTTGATTTTTGTAAACATCGCAAAGTGTAGCAGAATTGTAGCGCCATCTTGCGGTCAGTAGGAATATCACGCAGGCAACCGAAAACACAAAAGAATATTTTCACACTGGCAGGCCTTGAGTATAAGTTGGCCTTGCTCCGTTATGTTACATTATACAAGAGATACTACTATTTTGCGTATAATTTCACTGAACTTATTGGCATACATACAAAATTCATAACTATATATATATATATATGTAATGATATTTTTAAAGCAATTGATTAAATTAAATTCTATTAATATTGCTTAATAATGTGTTGGCGATTCTCTACCTAAATTGCATCCCTTTTCCAAAATTTTGGCGGAATCCTTTCTTTAGTATAAAATATATTAACCTGTTGGCGCCCGCCAAATCACCAAAGTCATAAATCTGTCATATTACATAAAGTACTTAAGAACACTCCTGATGAGAAGATAGCGTCATCTCGTGATTTCAATTAATATCGCTGATTGGAGGAGCTTCGTGACGTACACATATGTATAAGTAGGGCTTCTGCTCAAGGTACGAGGAGAACGCTTGTGAGATGGATGCTGAAATAAACCTACCACTTTATATTCCAAAATTTGTCTCATTCCTGTTGCCCCGGCTGCACAAAACAAATAATGTATGAGAAATTACATTTCATATATATATAATCAAGAGTTTATAAATTCCAAAATTAAGATTTTTAATTACTAAAGTCATGTATTAATTATTAAAACCTTGCAGTATGCTGCTAAGTTAATGGAATAATTGAAAGATAGTAATTCAATTAATACGAGTGGCAAACTGACTAAAGGAAGAATAGAAGTTATAATTGAAGCAAGAACGAAACATAAAATAACAATTATTTGAAATAACATAATAACGAATATTTGAAAATTATTTGCTTCTTTTCAAGAAGCAGCGAGAAAATTTTCAACAGAGCCCCATTTCTGAATTATGTCTGGATGATTACCCTGT